TTTCTGTTGCTCCCCTGATCTTTCATATTATACTCATTTACATATGATTAATGATAAGTTAAAAGGATTATCTGTAATGTAAGTGTAGCTGCTATCTCTCCTGCAGTGTTTTTAACTTTTCGTTTTGAACTACCTATGTGAGATGAAGCATAAAACTTTTGTCATCATTATTTATCATAATCATGATTTTTATTAGTGCAAGATATTTATTTGTTTTTTCTACTTTCAACAGGAGAGCTTTGATGGACAAATGACTGAAGAAAACATAGAGATAGGAGTTGCCAGCTCTGACGGTTTTAGTCTCCTAGAACCAGCTGTAGTGAAGGACTATCTTGCCGCCATTCAATAATATAATAATAACGTGTGCAACTATTATTGTATTTGTGCGACACTTTTAATAAAAAATGATTACAAAACCTTGAAAGTTGATGATGTATTTTCTGTAATTGAATTGGAGGTCCTTCTACCGGATGTAGTGTTTTGAAGAGGATGTGTGTGCGTGATGATGGCAGGAAGAGGCTACAGTCACCTCAGTTCCGTATATAAGCAGTCGAAAGTGACTGAATGCAACTAGACGTCTTGAAAGATTACAAGGCTATTTGCTAGTTGACCACCATAGAGAAAAGCACTCACTTAGAACAATGGAAATAAGTCCATCAGCATCTACGGCCAACCCGTCCATTGCTGACGACCTCCCCGTTTATTTAGGGACTGACCAAGAGCTAGACAAGATTCTCAACAGCTTCGTCTGGGCTGAAGAGCAAGGGATTTGCTCTTCACCCTTAACACTTGGAGCAACTCCAAGCTCTGGCTCATCTTTAATGCAGTTACAGCCATTGCCTGCTCACCTGTTGAGCAGCAATACTGCACCAATCATTCCCGGGTCAACACCACTTCCTAGCGGTACTAGTACAGCTACTCCTCCAGCCCCAGATAGTCCCTTCTCGTCTGCATCTTCAGATTCAGAGACAGTTTTGCACAAAACCTCCATCGAAGATACCACACCACCAGCCAGACATAGCAGAGCTCACCCAAAGAGAAGAAGGACCATTAAAAGGAATGACATCCCAGCAAACGTGCAGCTACCTATCAGGAAAGGAGGCATGCACCTCTGGCAGTTCCTTTATGGCATGCTCCTCCAGCCGGGCGATTACTCTGATCTAATCGAGTGGACGTCAAACAAGGAAAGTTTCGAATTCCGTCTTTTGGAACCGGAGGCAATAGCAATGTGGTGGGGTTATCACAAAAATAAGACAAACATGAGCTACGATAAGCTGAGTCGCTCCCTTAGATACTACTATGACAAGTGCATCATACGCAAGATGGCTGGGGAGAGATATGTTTATAGATTCTGTGTTGATCCAGAGCTCATGTACAATGCTTTAGGTAACTCTGAGAACAGGCCACAGCTAAAGCCACTGCCTCACTCTGTCAAGGTTATGTTACTTGAAAGCCAACAGCAACCGAAAGAGCCTGTTGCCAGCTGTAGCAGATTAATGGAAGAGATAAACCCTTTACTGAGACACCATCAAAGCTATTCCTCACCCGAATATTCACCAATCAGCTTAGACATACCAGGAGCCTGCAAACTCCAGCAGAACTATATGTCTGATTTCTCACCAGCAGCATCTTCATTTTCTCCTAGCATTGTAGCTTATGGAAGGCACAAAAGAAATTATTCATCTCCAGAGTTTTCCCCTACATCACAGTCAACTTCAACTAGATTCTCATATTCAACACCTCCAACCCTCTCTCAGCCCATTGGTCTAACAGAACAAGGGGCTTCATCATTCTCTCCTACTCTAGCCTCTTCTCCAAGTATGGCTCTTACTTCACCCTCTTACTCACCACCTATTGATCACTTAGTGTCTTCTTCATATGGTATTGAATCAAGTGACCATGATATAATGGGGAAATGCTTAACAAAGAGCAACCAGCAAGCCATGGCTTCCATTTTTCCTGATGTAAGTTGTTGTCATGCTGCAGAGCCTCAAGAGTCATTTTTTCCATACTCTCAGCATTCAACTAGCATCAGCTCTAACAGTTCGGGCATTCACATGTCACAACTCCCAAATTCAACTGCTAATCCTGCTCCTACATATCAGCAACAGTGTCCACCATGTCCTAGCTATTGTAGTCCTCCAACTTCGACGCTCTCTCACTATCCCACGAAAGAGAGCGACTATTTCAACTTAGAAGCACAGTTTACACTGAGCACTGTCCCAGTATCCAGTAGCAGTATTCCTACATACAGCAACAGTGACGTGGTACCTGGGTCTAACTTTACTAGCGAGTATCATTCTGCTTTTCCATTGTCACATTTTTCAAATTCAACTAGCACTCGAAGTGATGTCGACTCATTTCTCTTTGATAACGATTTCTCTCTTAATTCATCGTATGAGATGATTAATGCACAATTGATACCAAATTAAAGAAACTTGTAGTAGATTAGACTGATTATATTATTTTTATAAATTTATACTTACTGCTAATATTTTTATTCAGTTTCATTCTTTTATTACTATTTAATTATTTATTATCATCATTACAGCAATGAAAAAGAGTCAAGAATCACCAATATATAGACCTAAAAATATAGCTAAGTACATAATGCAAATTTTCGGAAAAAAGCAAAGGCAGTCCACAGTATTTTCCAAAAAATGGCTCCAAAATAATCTCAAATTTTTATTACATTTTCTGATACATATTGATGTATTTATGCTGTATAGAAAATTTGAGCTGATTCCGACTTAAATTTTTCAATTTATGGACAATTTAAGAAAACGCCAAATGTCTGAAAAGTACCCAAGGCTATAGCCCATGGTTTTTTCTGAAATATGGCTCCAAAATCACCCTCAATTTTTATTACATTTTCTGATACATATTGATGTACTTATGCTGTGTAGAAAGTTTGAGCTGATTCAGACTTCAATTTTTCAAGTTATGGCCATTTTAAGAAAACACCAAATTTCTGAAAAGTACCCAAGGCTATAGCCCATGGTTTTTTTCAAAAAATGGCTCCAAAATCACCCCAAATTTTTATTACATTTTCTGATACATATTGATGTCCTTATGCTGTGTAGAAGGTTTGAGGTGATTCCGACTTTAATTTTTCAAGTTACGGCCATTTTAAGAAAATGCCAAATTTCTGAAAAGTACCCAAGGCATTCAATGTTTTTTCCAAAAATAGCTCTAAAATCACCCCCAATTTCATGCCCTTTATCAATTATGCTATAGATCTAAGTAGACCTGTAAAAAGCAGTAAAAGTTAAATTGCCTTTGGCAAATTACCAGATTATGAAATTAGCATTTGGAAGCCTTTGCAGTGTGCCATAATAATACCATAACGTGCTATGCCCAAATATGGACATGAGGATAAGGGGGAAATTGATATCAGAGAGAATGTGAATGGTGCAAATTAAAGAAAGAGCTAACGAACAGTGCTAAAAGCTATGATTGATTGTGCCAGCATTATTATGAAGCTATAGTGGTCTATCATGTGTATCGTTAGTGTCTGCTGCTTTTTGAGAAATGAAGCTCCAATATTCAATTTTGCAGCAATAGCTCAACTCGCTTTTTATTAAGAAACTAAAACCGCCATTATAAAAGGCTAAATTGTTTAATTGTTCTAATTAGTATTGTTAGTTTATAGCATTACATTATTGGGATTATAGAAATATCTTACCACTACAGACAAGTAGGAAGGAAGCCAGCATAAGGTCTGGACTGCAATGCATGCACTGCAATAAGAGTAGCCACACCTCCAAACTCTTTTGTATAAAAAGCACCAGCTGAGCACATCAAGGTCCCAAAAAGAGTATTTTCATATTTAGCCATCTTGACTGAGCTAATAGAAAAAGAGGCATCAAATATACAGAGAATGAAACTCATGGCATCCACAGAGGTTGTTTCTACTAGCACTCCCTCCTCCAGTCTCGCTAGCAGTAGCAGTAGTGAAACATGCAGTGGCTCACTGCAGCAGCAGCAGCAGAGCACTCTATCTTCTAGTAGCAGCCTTTTCCTGACTGAAAGCATCCAGCAAGGACTCAGGAGGGAAGAAGATGAAGAAACTGGAGCTGATGAGCTCTTGTACGGCGAAGAAGAGGAAGAAGAAGGAGCTGAGAAAGACAAAAAGTCAATGGGGAAGAAATCCAGCAGCAAAGCGCACAAGATAAGGATGCCACAGAGGAAAGGAGGGATGCAACTGTGGCAGTTCCTCTATGCACTCCTGGAAGACCCCGAGAAGCGTTACAGGGAGCTCATAGAGTGGACAGACAACAGACCTGAGCTGGAGTTTCGTCTCCTGGACCCCGAGGCCATTGCCATGTGGTGGGGGAACATCAAACACAGGGCAAACATGACCTACGAGAGACTCAGTCGCTCACTCCGCTACTACTATGATCGAGGGATACTCAAGAAGATGGGTGGTGAGAGGTACCTCTACCGGTTCTGTGTGGACCCCGAGGAGATGTACAAGCACATAGGAAACTCTGACAGTCGCCCTGTCCTCAAACCAATGCCTCTTCAAGTCAGCAAGTGGATGTACAGCAGGATGGTACTACCTACACCACATGGAGCCAACACTGGCCATGCTGGCCTTTTCTTTTCAGGCATAGCTCCACCAGACTACTCAGCGGCAGTGCTACAACAGCAGCACCAACAAGCATCTCTCCCACCTCCTCCTCCTTACCCAGGCTACACAGGAGGCTCTGAGCACCAGTACTACCTCCACTCAAGCAGAAGCACCATCACTGGTTATCAATACCTTGCACAGCATTGCATAGAGTCTGCCAATGTGCCTGGAGGTGGAGATGAAATGGCCTACCTTCGCCAGTACGAACCCCAACAGCTCCACCACATCCCTGACATGTACGCCAGCGGTTCCACCATGGGTTGCTACAGCACAGGCTATAACTCCTTCTACCCTTTGACCTCTACTCAGGGACCAGTATCAACCAACCCATTAATGGCTTCAGCAGTGCCCACTACAGCAGGACCAATGGACTACCAGTCACATATGCTTCCTCACTCCTCCTCCTCTTCTCTTCATCAACTCCATGGATCTCAGTACGAGGCTAATCCAGAGTCCTCATCTCCATTGGCTGGAAGTGGTCCTTTTATTGATGGGTCAACAGGAGGAGAAGCAACTTCGCCCGATTACTCGAGCAGCACGTGCAGTGGTGGTGATTGTGAAATGGCACTGGATGAGATCCTCCCAATTCTTGCTTCGATGGAGCAACAGTCTGATGAGCTAAGCCTGCTCTCATCTCCACACAACAGCTACAGCGACTCTCCATCTCCCGTTCAAGGCTATCAGACCAGCCCAGGGCTATACAATCAGTTTCCTTCCGGTCACTTTTCATCGTCTTCGTCTCTCCATCTCTCTTCTCCTCATCCTGTCTCCGTTTACTCACCACTGGATCAAGGCAAAGAAGCTCAATGGACACCAAGCAAAGAAGAAGCATGGAAAGCAAACTGATACAATTATTTACAATCATGCATAAACTATATGACACAGACACACACATCACATTTAGTTCAATAATAGTTGACTTTGTACACACACATCAATTAAACTTTTCTCACACTTTTCCTCATTCACATGTACTGTCTGATACACAGGTCAACAATTTATTTAATAAATAATCGTTAATTCTACAAACAAAATTACTACAGTTGCAAATTTCTCTGTAAATAGCGCTAATGGTCAGATGTGTTCTGATTCTATTTACACACAAATGATATTAATGTAATGCAATGAGACAGAACTTTGTACCACTTTCAACTTATTAATTCCTAATCATCTTTCCCTAATCACATACCATTCCCTGTCTCACAAACACCAAATAAGATTTGCAATACTATAATAATAATAATAGTAGCCCCAAGGCAAGGGCTTGTGTACAATGATACATAAACAAATGACTATCATGCTATTATTACGAATGATGTATTGTATGCTAGATGATTTAGTATATTGTCTCTAGATGATAGTGAGGTTGTTGATAATGGTAATAATGATAATATTTATTATATTTATTATTATTATTATAATCCATCAGTGTGGTTAGGTCATTCTTGGAACTCAACAATAATGGGGCAGAAAAGTTTACCACAGCATGTTGAGAATGACTGACTGACTCTCTTTCCTACTGACAGTAATCCTACACACTCTTGCGTAAAGCAGACAGTTACATCATAAAATACACACATTAACAAGCATAATGGGTTCTTTGTAAGACGACAAAAGGACAACATATTTGAGATACTTAGGGTACTCAGTGTCAAGGTTTCCGTCATCTTAAAATGCAACTCTTTCAGTTAATGGTAAACACTTATTTACTGCGAGACTTCTTGTCACTGTTATTCATAGATGGCCGTTATGGCTAATTCCATTCAAATTGTAGCATTTTGTGAATGAGACACTGTCAAAATGTCGAGATGACATAATAGAACTAATAAATAAGATATTGGGCAATACTCTTGCACTATAACCATAAACGGAATATTCTTCATCTGCTTTTCTATCTCTTCCTACATGCACATTCCTAATTAGCATCAAATTAATTTCATCATTCTGACAATGTTCAGTTACCATTCACTCTTCTAACATTAAATCCATCTCATTTTCTCTTCCTCAAAAAGGAAATACACTTTAACAAACGTTACATCAAAGCATCAACGGGTAAACAGCATAGGAGGCCTACCATCCCTTTAACCGATTTCTTGGAACAGTAAAATGCACTGAGCGGGTACACAAGATTCATTGAAAGAAGGAAATGTTTACTGATACCATTATAAGGTTAATGAATGAAGCTTTGTGGCTGCTAAGACAAAAGAAAACTGAAGATGCTCAATTAGCGACCACATTTAAAGTTAGAGCACATTTTACTTATAACATATCTAAATCATTATTATTACTACTACTAATAATAATAATAATAATTATTATTATTATAATTGAATGACTATTGTCAAATTAATAGTTAAACTCAGTCTAGTACCATTCACGTACCCCGTTCAGCCTCCTCAAGGGGTCAGACGTTTGGGATCCCTAGGGAAGAGAGAGGTTTTCCGTATGTTGTTGAGACCAAGGAAAAGCATGCACACACGCTCCAGACCTAAAGCAAGATATTAGAGAATGTTAACAGCAAGGCACTAATGGATAATAGACAATAATACACATAATCCATAATCTAATACTTAATATTCAGTATACACACACTCAACTAATATTAGCACATAATATCTAGACTTAACCTAATGAAGGAATAGCTAGAACACAAAAGCAAGGAGCTAGTATGATAATGGACAATACGATTATCATTTTCGCTTCAATTTTATCTTAAGTGAGTGTTTGTGTGTGCATAGAAATATATATATATGTACATCCTTAAAATGACACATTTGCATCAAAAGGTGACACAACAAAAGAATGTCAATTAAAACACATAATATTATACTACTCTACATTTTGCATGTACCAGTATATACAATACATGAAATAAAGACAGGACTATATACTAAGTGGAATTCGACAGCATTGAGCTAATACAACAACAGTCACATGTTATAGACAACTTACAATAGCAAAACAGAATCACAGAGCAGAAGTAATAATAAATATTAATATGGAAACAAAATGAGTTTAAGAATCAGACAAAGGCAGATCATTATGACCATACAGTATAACAATAATAATAATAATGATAATAATAACAATGATGATAAATAATGCACTAGCTAACAAAGTGAATGCGTGATAAGCATTACAAGTAAAAGAGGTTTAGCTTTACTTAAGTCACAAAGACAACTGACCCAAACAAGACTGAAGGCATGATAATGTCAAGCCTTATTTTCCCAATCTCATGAAATAGACACACTCCAAAACATAAACAATGATGTCATGCCAATGACAGAAACCATAATAATACCATGCAACCAGCTTTATACAGTCATTATGACACACACATACATAGACATAATGAATTCACTATAAACAAGCATGTATTGCACAATTTTCCCAAAAGCATGTCATTGTACTTAAAATTATAAGTTGAAAAACTGATTAATTAGAGGAGAGTTCTCATTCCAAGCATTTCTTTGACAGTCACTTTAAAACTAAAAACCAACGACATATAAACACACACACATGCAGTGATGAAATTGTGACTAAAACTCTTTTTAATATATTGTCACTCAAAATACTAAGGAAGGTATCATCCCTTTTCTTGCCACCAAAGTGTTAACACATGCCACTGTCACGTGGGGTGGGTGCCTAATTGTTGATATAGTGAGGTGCATCTGGTAAATGACATAGTGTTTCCTTCATGCTGTGTCAAAGGTAGATAGTTTAAACAGTAAATTCTTTTCCACTTTTCCTTCGTGGAAACAGCTTAGATGATACCCATAGCATGTCTAAGTGAGTAGTCACACAAAGCGCTGCTCCACCACAAGCTAAACCTCAACCCCTTGATGCCTCATGCTTGTATCAACAAAATATCAGAACTGGAAGGCTTCTGCAATGATAATAATAATCACACATGACCTCTCATTTACATGTGCGTTATTCCGAATCAGTATAAAATGTAATCATTCCAATAGAACAACCTTTTTCGTGCGTTCATTTAATATAATAATTTTATTTCTTAATAAAAGCTCGTATTAATAGAATGACGATTGATTAGGGAATCAGTGGGCGAATGAAGCAGTAGATCTAATAAACAACTCATTCAATACAATGACTAGGCCGGCCCAACCATCAGCTGCTTCTTTAGAAAAATGATAATGTGCTAATTGACAACTGTACTGTGTACTGGGTACAACTGTAGCTTGTGTGTGTGTGTGTGTGTGTGTGTGTGTGTGTGTGTGTGTGTGTGTGTGTGTGTGTGTGTGTGTATTATACAAAGGTGTTCACTACATACCTATGCCTCCTCCAGCATGAGGTGGAGCACCAAACCTGAATGAGTCAATATATGACTTTATCTTCTGCAAATCTGAAAGAGAGAGAGAGAGAGAGGGTAAGTCAAGTGATAATTAAAAAGGAAAAGGAGAGAAGTTCGAGTATACAAAAGGAAAGTAAGAGCGTAAACATTAGACACATTGGTACTATAATACAATCTGTTCCTTAATCAGTTCCAAAATAACAAAGAGAGAGAGAGCTTTGGTACACAAACAAGATAATCATAAAAATTAGCTAATACATGGCATTTCCTTGATAACTCCACCAATAACATTCCTAGTTCACAATATGACTATATTGAAGTATGCATAAAGGAAGTCACTGGCAGAGCATAAAAACACATTACTCACAGTATATATAGATCTACATAAATATGCATGTACATATATATATATATATACACACATACATACTGTACTTATATATACATTCATGAATGCAAAATGGAGGGTGAATGCAAATTGTCTCGTTAAACAATTATTGATTGAAACTGAATACAAGACGAAAACATTAATTATAAGCAAAGCCAATGGATGTGCATGCATGCATGTAAGAGTGTGTGCTAGGAATCACTACAAGGGAGTGGGAAACAAAAAGAACAAAGTTAATAAAGAAGAAAAGAAGAAGCAGACACTATAAATTGCTAACCAATTCCATGATGTGTTGCTCTTTCAGTCAAAAACTCCGGATCATGGATACGTTGGGCTCCAGACATTATCTCTTCGCCTCTCATAAAAATATCATAAGAGTTTGAATAAATCTGTGGAAATCAAGAAGGAAAGAGAAAGTAACTCGGGGGAGGAAGGAGGAGGGTGTGAGAGGAACACAGACTAGTCAAAGTTCAGAGGAAGAATTAGTAAGGAAAGCACATCACACAGAACAAGGAAACGATGCAAATAAAACCTGCAATAGCTACACTGTACTCTTGATACTACCAATGTATAAAGTGTACTATAATACACAATAATATGAATACCCAATGCATGTACACATACATTTAAAGCATAATCCATATACTGCTATTAATGAGTGTACATGTACATTTACTTAAAGTGTGTCTGTGTATAGTATCAAGTGCAGTGTTATTAAATATGCAGGTGGTAATTTTAGAACTTACGGAGCTGTGAGGATCTGGCATAGTGTAGAATGGACGAACAGCCAAAGGATACTTATCAAGAATATAGAAATCAGTGTCATACTGAGAGAGAGAGGAGGGAGAAGGAGGAGGAAAATGAAGAGAAAGAGGAGAGAAACAAAAGAGCAGAAAAAAAAGAGAGAGGAAGAGTTTAAGACAGGTAAATATCTTAATGAAATAAACTGATACCCACACACGCCCACGAGACACGCCCACAACTGAGACACAACCAATCCGCAAATGAGCCAAAAAGTACCCAAGCACACTCCAAGTCTTAATAATGCAAAAACCTTTCCCACAAAGGACACAAGGAGTGGTGATGTATTTGGGAAGTTAAGGACAGTGAATGTATCATTATCATTTCATCCACTAAAGGCTGACTATAGGGAGGGCGTGACGTGGCTAGGACTTCGGTTTTTTGGGTTAGGACAGATATGGATTCACAAACAGCACCTGTGAAGCCAGGTTAATTCGGATGAACTGACAGTCAGTGTATTATGTGCATTATAATTTTAGCGGAGGTTAGGAAGATGGGGGGAGAGGGAGGTGAGAAAGGGGATGTGTTGTACAATTATGGTCTGACTACCGTACAGCTATATGCAGTGACTGGCAGTCTAAGGGTGAAACACCTGAGCCTTGTTATTATTTTATCCCACCTGACCTTTATTTAAAATACACATATATACACACACTTGCTGCAGCTAGGTTATATTATGCTGTGTATGTGGATTTACCAAGTATACATGAATGTGTATAAAGGCAATGGAAAATGTGTCTACATGGATTGGGTGTGAATTTCACATGCTTTATGGAGCTGAAGTGATGCTGTTAGTGAATGAATGATTGCGTGACAAACTCACCTTCTCCTTGACCAACCTTCCCAATAGCTTCTCATTAGGAGTACTGAGAGATAAAGAGAGGAAGGGGAGAAAAAAAAGACATAAGTAACCACTCAGTACCATATTAATAATATAACAATAAAATGCCATTATACTTGAATGACAGATCCTTCTAAGAATTACCATACAGTTGGCCATTGCAAGAGTTATGTAGATGTACAATTTCATGGCCGGAGGGGATAAGCACTGGTATGACATTTATAAGTCTTTCATTAAAACATTATCCCATGCTAATTTATAAAAACTATGCACTCTCTGTATAAATGCAATACCAAGCAGCAACCTGTGAATGTCTATATTTAGATATAATACATGTTCATCTGCCGTAATTAGTTCATATTGGTACATGTATGTCTAAATGATAATGTAATAACTACTTGTCAAGGCAGGCGTACCTAATTAAATATTAATTATCTAAACATTAATTATACATTAAGCTTATTATTATTATTATGTACATTCCTTATACACGTATTTATTCTATAGTTCATAAACCTTGCATTATAACGTATGTACTGTATGTAAGTGTATTCTAGTCCTGGGGTAGACCATATGAATAAGTTTCTATAAAACTAGCTAACTCTCTATGATATCACCTTCACAAAAACTGCAATTCAGACATAAATTAGAGTCGTCCCGTTTTACATTAACAAAGAAAACAGACAGTGAGAGCATGGAAGCAATGGAAAAGGAGCATATGCACGAGGTAAGGAGAAATTAAGAATACATTGAAGTAGAGGTCTATGTATCTTTAAAGAGAGAGAGAGAGAGAGGGGGGGAGAGAAAGAGAGAGAGAGGGGGGGGAGAGAAAGAGAGAGAGAGGGAGAGGAAAAGGGTGTGTTGTCTGAATGGTGTGGATTATTAAAAATACAGTCAGTCACTTCTCAGTGGATAACGAAGTCTCGTGGTCTGGCCCAAGCCCATGCCAGCACAATAGAGATGGATTAAGTATAATTGAAGTGTTGAATGCATCATGCAATGGAGACCGGATGGATTGTGTACACATTTCTTGATTTATTGTATAGCAGGACTGAGAGGGTTGGACTATTGAGATTAAGGCTCCAAAATACTTGTACCTTTCTTGTCATTCCAGAATAAATCATTGCAATATTGCTTTATGCTTAAAACAATGGGATCAATGCAGGAATCCTCGTTAAAATAATTTAATAATTTGGATGATATTATACTTAAAAGACACTGAATGATTGTATTCATGCAATGATAATGGACAGTGTATATGATTACACTGTCCATTAATCAATACTAGTGTCAAACTGTATTTAACATACTTTTAGTAGGAAAATATTACATCACAATAAATAAGAGTGACATTATGATAAAGCTCATATCTCATGCACTCCATGAATAGATGAGTATGTAGATAGTGATTTAACAGGAAACCAGTGACACATTGGAGACCACAGTATGCTCTCACAAAAACAATTATAATACTACACAAATATGTGTCTCTATGGCACCTTTTGATGTGGCAAAGCATGGATTGTGAGCTATATTAGCTAAGGGTGATATAAAAGGAAGGACTACTAACTATTATAAACTATTACCTAACACAAAATTATAGCTAGACACCACACGTAGTGTTATGCATACAAACATAATAAGGTTATATACACACATGTACATCAATTTACCTCAAGTCATCTTCGTCTCCAATATCAGTACCAGCTGCTCTCAGCATTTGAATCCCCTCCTTGTATGTGAGGACAAGGCTATAGCAATTAGAATTATACTTCAGATGTGGTAAATGTAACAATAAATAATAATCAGTGATAGTCATCTACTATTGGGTACTATTATGAGGTCAAAATTTAGCATATAAAGGTTGTTAAATTTAACATGACTAGCACAAAGAAAAAACAGGCTTTCAGCTCAAATTAAAAATCTTGCTCAATTATTGCATATCAATCATAGCAGAGGCATACAGTTGCATGCATAAAAATGTATTTATTGAGACTGTCTACTGCTCTGCCTGATCATAACAGACTAATTAGCAAGCTCTTGCATTATTATTAAATTTAAAATGATAATCAATACGTGCACCGTAATGCAAAGAAATATGTACCAGAAACAACATATGTTTGATTATTAGAAACAGAAATTCGCTAATCCCGTTATGCTGTAAATAGCATGACAATGCCCAGACGGACACACAGTGTACAAATAAAATAATGAAATAACAAATTGCCATCATCAGCCACTCACCATGCACTTAGGATTGTGTACAGGAAAGTCCCTCGCAAAACAAGCAAACATTATCAGTGTTGATTATCATCCTAATGCGCTCTAATTTCATCTTATAATATTATTAGAAGCAGCAGAGTACCAACTACATTTATCAGGGCACCTGTTTCTCTCTTTGCTAATGACTCCAACTTTGAGGAGCAAATTAAATGAGACGTTTTTATTTATGGACAAAATGACAAATATGAACTATGGCTCTACCAATATGAGCATATTTGCATACATTGTACATGTGCACTGGATTCGCAACCGGCTAAATCATACCTTGGCTCTAAGAATTTAAAAGGTTCAGCTGGAAACTGCTGATTGACTGTAGAGATCTCGTTCTGACATCTGCCAAGAGAGAGAAGTCACATGACAGCAGTAATTAATGAATAAAATGATAAACAACAACACACAAACAAGGAAAAGATGTTAAGAATGTGTGAGAAAAGCATGCTAATGGGGATAAGGAAAACGTATAATTAGGTATAATTTGTATAAATATTATTATTACGAGACTTTACACAGATTACTCAAAAGGTTCTTTAAATTAATGAATTATTAGCAATCTTGATTCAATTAGAGGCAGATTCAGACAAATTGGATAATTAGCAGACAGTCATTGGATCGTAATGAGACTCACTCTTCCTGTAAGCCTTTGAATATTGCAATGAACATATCCCCAATAACACGAATCACCTACAATACATGTATGTTGTTGTTTGTGTTAATTGTTGCAAATAAATTGTATATTTTGAGAGAATGAGATGGTATGCAAGCGTTGAGAGATGAGTGGAGAAGACATTGATTAAGGACTTTTAGGAGAGTTGATTTTTGATATAAAGTTACCTCATGATAATGCTCATTAAATGCCATTTCAAGATCGAGCCCAACAAATTCACATAAATGTCTGTGAGTGTTTGAATCTTCAGCACGAAAAACTAAAAAAGAGAACATTAAATACTCCTTTAATTTTCATATCAATGCTCCTTATGCTTTGTAGAAAGTTGGAGCTATTTTTAAAAAAAGTTGGAGCTATTTTTATACCAACGCAATGAGCAGTTAATCAATTGATGGCAACAGTAATTTAGCTTGGGCATTTTCTCAATTAAATACTGAATTTACATTGTTTTAAAATATTAGAATGAACAGAAGCTAGTGTACCAATAATGCATTTTTAAGACAAAGAAACCATTGCGATCTTTGCATCCTAAGAGATTGGATTACAAAACATAAATATTTGCAGAAGCCGAATAAAGAAATAATTGCAACAATTATGAAAGCATGTCAATAGCCTCAAGACATTATTGTACTGCTAGTACCATTAAAGGGCTAGTTAATGGGTAGGCTATTACTTAATTCGCATAATAAAATGTATTTGAGAATTGCTGGAAAACCAAGGCACTCTACAATGTAGAGGTATACCTGGAGCTAAGGTCTTCAATTTTAGCAACTTTAAAAATTCATAAAAATTCCAATTTTCCAGCTCAAACTTTCTACGCAACATAAATACATGTATATTCATCAAAAAATTTAAAATGAAATTTTTTATTTTTTAATTTGGCCCAAGACCATGTACTGTATGTAGTACAGAAACTTTTCCCAAATTTAGAGCAAAAAAATTAGTAAAAATTCATATTTGATCAGAACCAGTTCAAACTTTCTACACAACATAAGTACATGTATATGCATCAGAAAAAATTATAAAAATGGAGAATTTTTTACTTTTCAATTTTGGTGAAATTTGGCCAAAGTGCCTGTACTATAGTACAGGGACTTTTACTTGATTTTGGAGCAACTCATGAAAAATCCAATTTTGATTGGAACTAGCTTAAACTTTCTGCACAACATAAGTACATGTACATGCATCAGAAAAATTATGAAAATTCTCTTAACTATCTTTGATGCAATGCCCTCAGGCTCACGCCCAAAAAATGAAACAATGATGAAGTACATAGTATTTACAAGTTATAAGTAACCATGCATGCCATACCAAATAATCACAGTTTGCTTCTAGCCTATGCCACAGTGTACTATGGGGTACAATGTGATTTAAACCCACAAAACACTCATGCCATTAAAACAACAGACTAGACAAGGTGACCATGGCAACAGACATAACTGAGTGACCATGACAACATAGTGGCTATGACAACCTGGTTACTATGACAACTGCAATGTTACTATTGTATGGTTGCCAATGTCCATTAATGGAGAGAGAGGTGCCAATATGACTAGTATGCCACTTTAATGCCAGACACAAAAAAAATTAAGGAAATTTGAGTGTTCTCTATGATAGGATTTTAAAATGATTATCAAAGAATGGATTTATAAAATGGGCATAGCCATATGTTGTTCATTCCAGTTGGTCTGGTTTGTAAAGTGAATCATGTATTGAATATACATGTAGCTCCGTGTGTGGTAATTTATAAAATTCTATTGCCCAGATTCTTGCAAAAGCAAACATAATTGTATTGCTTCTAATCAAACGATCAAAAATTATAATTTTAAAAAGTCTACCACAAGTCCACAATAAATGTCATGCATTAGCTATGAATGGGCAGAACCTTAATAATAATTAGTTTTAAATTGCAGTACCAATGTATTGAGTACTAGTTGAAAAGCACCAAGTTTGTTATGTCAAGTTTTAAATGTATTATTGAACAAATAATAAACTTCACTACGATCTACTTGCGTCTCTCAATGTTGCCCCAGTAGCAGGATCATAATTACGCTAGTGAACATGAATGTCACACAATATCATCACTTCTCAAGTGTTTTAAGGTGGAAGTCTTCTTTTCAAACATGTTTGGACACAAAAATGCCCTTATTGATCAAATGTTTGCTAAATATACCACACACAGCAAAAGCCAAGGAATACTCTACTCGTAATTAGCACCACAAGTATGCACACACACTGAGGCAACACTTGATCTGCTGTTTTAAACCATCAACAAATTGCATAATAGTTCCAATCATGCTACTACAGTATAATAATGGACGCTTCAGTACAAGAAAGTGTCTCTGTCATACAGAGGTGTCCTTTATGTGGAGGCTATTTTATACAGTAAGGAATGCAATTGGTACACTAGGTGCTGTCTGTTAAATGGAGGTGTACGCTATATAGAGAGTATCCATTAAGGAAGGTTACGCTACAGATCTTTGTTATTATAGGATAAAGTATTACTACGGTAACTTTCCAAAGATAGCATTCATAATTCCATTTATAGGAATAAACAAATGAAACAAAATAAAGTCCCTCAGCCCGCCACATGTTATGCCACTAATTGTTACATAACCCACTGCAACAGTCATCACCACATACACATGAACACAACCAACTGAAGCCAAAACGTCTATAATTCATTAAATTTACAGAAGTATGCATTTCAAAATAAAGTTAAAACAAAAATCAATTAAAAGGCGCGACAACCACAAAACAAAGCAATCAGTAATAAGTAACTATTTCTTAGACAATAATCAATGGAATAATGGTATTGATGCAATCGTAGCTATACTTAACTTTATGATGCACTGTTCAATACGTACATACCTGCACCTATGGTGAAAACTTTATCAAAATCTGCAGCAATTGCCATTTGCTTGTAGAGCTGAGGACTCTGGGCAAGATAGGCTTGTCCTGCAGAAAAAATAATAATGGTTTCATTTCTTGATTTCGATCATGAATGCATGTTCGGAAATTATTTATGCAAGGCTTAATTGTGCAGGATACTAAATTCCTCACCTTTAAAGTATGAGACTTCAAATACATTAGCTCCACCTTCACTTGCAGCTGTGTATGTGTAGAGTGTATGTGTAGAGTGCATGTATTAAGGAAAAACAAATGCATAATGATCATGTGGCTTCCATTTGTGTACAGTGAACTGCATTACAGAGTACAGCACACACCAGAACACGAGGTTAAGGCTAGAGCCGCGTGAATGACGTCACGTCAGTAAACTACTAGAAATCTCCGCGTTTTTACTCAGTAATTTAAAAAGTATACTGACTTAAATGCCCGTAAAACACCTCCGCCTCGTCATCAGCTAAGCCAGACAGAGCCCGTGACGTAAAACACAAGTCGTTTTCTCTCTACAGCTCTCGAAGCATAGTGATGGGAAAACACTATATATATCATTCATGCAATACGAGTCGCCATCACAACACCGAGACTCCTCCAGTGCCCAATTCTCTGACCTCTTTGCAAGCGGGCTCTACTAGATCTACTGTTTTCTCTCCGAGCAGCAAAGCTGGCACTCTTACTTCAGCCTTATACAGACCAGAACCTCTACATGGATGACAGTTCAAGCAAGAACCTATGTGTGGGCTCCAATGGACTATTTCTAAATGGACAGGAAGACCTTGGACTGTTTGGTAAGACACATAATTTATGCAACATTTTGCAAGCATTTATAAGCAATGCCCCTCCCCCTAAGTTGCTAGTGGTCCTGGGTATAAATAGACAGCTTTTTCTGCAGCTCAATCCCACACATGTATAGTAACGCCTCTCAGGTCTCAAGCTTCCAGGGACTAGCTCCTGCATGTTGCTATTCTACCACTAGCAATACCGAAATGGTTTTTAAGCCGCCAAATTTTTTCCCATGCAGAAGCAGTGGTCACCCTAGTATTGGCACACATGCATACTCGGCTTTATTATTACCATCTCCTACTCCCTCACCATCCCCCTCTTCATTTTTAGCATCATTCCAGCATCAGTGGAGCAATATGGCCGGAGGGGCTAGCTCATCATCTTCGCTTGCTGCAATGGCAGGTTTGCAAAATGACAAGTCTCTCGGTACTACAGGTAGCTCCAGCAGTCCAGAAGATGCATCGTTCCTGAATAGTCATGCCATGATCTCAGCTGTAGATAGCAATAGATCATCGGCAATCAGTGATCACACTGATACAGAGGACTACGAGGACGACAGGCCAAAGAGGAAGAGGCCAAGAAACCCAATCCCAAACGAGAAAAAAGACGATAAGTACTGGGAGAGACGACGTAAGAACAACATTGCAGCAAAGCGATCCAGAGAGACAAAGAAACAAAAGGTTGATGAAGAGCTCTTAAAGGCTAAGGATGCCATTCAAGAGAATCACAAGCTCAAGCAAGAGATCGAAGTGCTAAAAGCAGAAATAAACAGTCTTAGGAGATTACTGAAAGATGCAAATATGACGCTCTCCCTGTGGATTAGAGCCAAGCAAACATCAGAACCAGCTTCACAGTTACCTCCAATGCTAAGAAACACTACTGGGAATATGCCATTTGTCACGTTCCCAGTAACTACATCGAATTTATAACAATTATTATTATTGCATGTAGACCTTATTGCATACCTATCCATCTATCTACCTATCTTTCATCATACTCTTATTGTCCTTTTTTTCCACTACCAAAAAAAATAATAAAATCATGCTGCTACTTTGCATAAACTTCAGAGAATTAATTATTATTTATATTTTGAAAGAACATTTAACACGTAATTATGCTCTCTTATCTAAAGCTATTGACAGCTATATAAGTCAATAGCCACAATATAAAAGGACATCAAATACATAATTGACAGCATGCAACTAGACATGAAATCTATCACAAAGAATTGAGGAACTAGCTTTATAGCTGCATATATGTCTTTAAATGTATTCCTAGTGTGTAATATGACTCTCTTCTACCAAACAATCTTGAACCCACTGGCTCTTCTTTGTCTTGCCCAATCTTTTAATTGCTCACATCAAAGGCAATAAACTTTAGTAATGGTCACCCACAAATTAAGTCAATTACTTAATACTTTTGTAGGCTAGTTCTCAAACTTAAGGGCCAGGTTGGTTGTAGCAACTAGCAAGCACCCAATACAACAGCATGTGAGAGCTAGGTAATGGTGAATTCAAATTCTTTTGCATTTAAAAAGAAGAAAAAATTATGAGAAAGGTCAAATTCTACTAAGTTATTTCACTTCAACCTTTGATATATAAATTAGACTCTAATAATCAAGCTAACAATACCATCTAGAGATAGAATAGTCTGTAACATTTGACTGGTTGTACATCAGTGACCTCAATGGCTTGATAATATTATTTTACCTGTCGCTATCTTGTCATCTATTACATAATCCAAATCACACATGCAAAGGGTTTATGATTACAAAAGAGATATTCTGCAAAGAACTTATTCCTTGTAAGTTATAACAATGGTATACACTATATTACTTCTATCATAGAATTGTAAGTGCTCTCTTAAAGTATAATTGCATGAGACTGGTTCCAACTACTACCACAATTACATGTACATGTGCAATGAATAACCTGATATTATTTTTGGCGTGTGTATTTCCACAAATCCTTGCGTCGTTAGATAATTCCTAAAAAGGCGACAAATTGCTGCCTCAACACGGAAAATGGCCTGATTAGTCACAGTCTGCAGAACAAGAAAACTTTAATGGCTCACGTAAATGTACTCACCCTCAAATCAATGATTCTATTATCCAAACGAGTGTCCTGATTGACACGTACCTGTGGCCCATCCTGGAGGAGGAACAGGTAATATATACAAATTATTATTATTTATAAACATTGCCATTAGTTAAGAGCAGATGAAACGTGAGACCGTTATGCAATTATAAGAACAGGAAAAACGAAAGTGATAAATATTTAATGTATGCAGCAACCCCGTCACTATAAAGTCATGCTTGCTAACATGTACATGTGAATGACAATAGACTATTATGGCTTTCTCTGAATGAGAGAATGAGTGTACTTACCTCTTCTGCTCCCTCTGGCCTCATGGCATCTTCAAGTTGAAATGGCAGCTGCGGCTCAGAGCGACTGACGCAAAATAGCTACAAAAATCACAGATCACATGACAGACTGGTAATTGAAAGCAGACACAATAAAGACTTTGTGCAACACCTTCAATTAGTCTATTCTCTTCCTCTCTACCTTCCTTACTATCATAATAGGACAAAAACAACCTCTCATTAGTGCTACTATAGAAATCTATTCCCTACTATTTACGCTTAAAGACACAATGTGGTAAATCACAATGGAAACATGTGACATAAGTCATATTCTCAAACCTTAACAGGGTGCAAAGGGGCTGCACTATGATGCCATAAAAGGCTCGGGTAAGCTCTAATAATTAAAATAAAACGGAGAACTCGAAGACATAGAATTGTCTCCGGTTATGAAACAATGCGTAATAATCATGACTCAATGTATGCATAGCATGAAATTACTAACATACCTTATTAACCACTAACTCAACATCCTGCTGCGAACAGCCTGTTATCTTTTCAGGAGCTGCAGACACGGTTCCCTCCAGATCAACTATAGATTCCTTATAAACACTATCATTATTATTAATGATAAACAATGAATTTGATATGAAGTGGGTATATATGGTAGGTGTGGACTTGCTTTGATGCATATCTGACCATCTGTTTGCTAGTAGTTGGACCAACAGCAGTAACTGCCTGTACTGTGTACTGCTGACTTCGGAGGACAAGGAAACACATGTTACCTGAAAGAGGATGAGAGATATAGCATATACATTTATCACTACACATTCTTTGTGTGTGATTTATAGCTTTCTATATTTTCCTCTCATATTACCGGTAGCTCTGCTAGCATGAAGGCGTCCACGTACTAGGACGGACTGTCCAACTTTGCTGGAATCAAGGTACTTTATGTGAGACCAAACTCTATCTGAAATAAAAGAGCCAAAAAAGTATTTACAGTACTTAGGGATTAATTGTATAAGTTTTACTAACGAAAGTGATTATGGGATAAACAGTATATTTGCTTGGGTATTTACAGATTGACAGAACTATAGGAACTAGCAAATTCATTTTTAATTATTTGCATTCATTTAAGATGTTCAAAGTAAGCCTTAATGGTTCATTTCCTTCAAAGCCAAGATAATATGATTTGTGATACTACTAATAAAAAAGTGCTGAAGTGTATAGCAAATTATAAAAGCAACCATAACAGTATGGGGACTAGGGTGTGCAGATTGTACAACAATTTAAGCTAAACAAAGACTTTAAAATTAGCCAACAAATCAAATAATAATGTATAAATTTTCCTCGCAATAATACCTGTTTTTTCCTGGGACTGAGCCATTGGCAAATTACCATAGCAATCTTTAGACACGTCCTAAAAATAAAAAAATATTAATAAAAGATAAACAAAGGGCATCGTTGCCAGGACAAAGTATACCAGCCCATACCATCTATTGCAACTTAATCATCAGCTAATTGGTGTTAGGCACACAAACTGATTCATGTATAAATAACTAGGGACAATACAGACGTATCCAATATCTTGAACAGTCCATACACACACACTTACTCACAAGTATGTATATGTATGACACACCATTATACAATGGACCGTATGCTGGCAATTATTAAACACACACACCCTTGAGGCACGTAGAAACAATAGCGCATGCATGACCATGACAACACACAAAGAAATTGCTTAACACAAAAACACTTTCGTTCTTTACTTGTGCATCTCGTGCTGCAGCTTCTGCTTCCTAAAAATGAGCCGTGATTAGATTATAGCTTCACTTTATTTTAACGTACAAGTTTAGAGGCAACGTTGGCCTTTCGTTCATCTTTCTTTGCCTGCTTGGCTTGTTTCTTCAATGCTTTTTTAGACATCACTTCACTAAAAAAATAATAAAATTATGAATACATAAATTACACAATTACCAAAATTTTAAATGAACAGCTTTTAAATAAAGAAAACCAATTACAGCTAGCCTACATTCTTATAGTGGTTTAACTAATTTAGTGGTGTTCATATCATCAATCCTCAGGCTATATCACACTCAAAGAACTTCAAAGGACACTTGTATAATAACTATGGAGCTAGGAGTGTTAGGATTCTCATTAGCTCAAGGTTTTAATATTCTAATGACACTGAGCAGATCATGGATGAAGTATAGCAACTTTGAAGATAATTTTTATGCACGCAAAATTTGTGTTCTGATAGATTTGAGGATAGATTGATGACAATAGTGATTAAAATAATTAATAATTAGTGCATTTTAATGAAGTAAACGTTAATTTCAATAGCATGGACATATTAACAGTAATATTATTGATGATCGTTATATAACATTAGTACATCTTAAATAAAATAATTATGGAAGTATGATTAAATTTATAAAAACTTAATTTTACAACCTCATGCTTATTGCCTACATTACAATACAATGACCATTGTTCCCCATGTACTCTAGTACAACAGTATAGAATGATTGTAATACCGTCATTTTATCCTACCCTGCTCCTGCCTCCGTTTGCCCTTCTGACCCTTGATCTGCCATGACTTCTATATGATAAAGGATTCGCGTGAAAGTCCAGAAGGGTTTAAGGGGATGTTCCTATTCGTTAAGCAAGCTAATGAGTTGCAAAATGGCCGCTGCTGTGCTGTTTTCCAGGCTGCATTGCAAAGTGTTTTTGCTACTTTTCCTTTGTTCAGGAGCTTCACTCTTCATTGGTGTAGACTCTAGATCATTCACCATCGACTATGACAGCAATTCATTCTCAAAAGATGGACAGCCATTCAGGTATAGACCAGTATTTATAAAACTAACAAATTATGAAAGCGTTAACTCGTAGGTACATATCAGGTAGCATGCATTACAGCCGTGTTCCCTCTTATTATTGGAGAGACAGACTCTCAAAGATGTACTATGCTGGCCTCAATGCTGTCCAGACCTATGTTCCATGGAACTTTCACGAGCCATTTCCAGGAGTTTATAACTTTGAAGGAGACCACGATCTAGTTGGATTTCTCAAAACAGCACAAGATGTTGGTCTATTGGTCATACTACGTGCTGGCCCTTACATCTGTGGAGAGTGGGAGATGGGGGGATTCCCCAGTTGGACTCTCAGGAACCAACCGCCCCCAACTCTACGTAGCTCCGATCCAAGTTACCTTTCACTCGTTGATGCATGGATGGGTAAACTCCTTCCACTCGTTAAACCTCTCTTGTATGAAAACGGAGGTCCCATCATCACTGTGCAGGTTGAAAATGAATACGGCAGTTTCTATACTTGTGATCAGAAATACATGAATCACTTAGAGTCAACTTTCCGTCAGTATCTAGGACCTAACGTGGTCCTATTCACAACTGATGGTGCTGGGGATGGATACCTAAAGTGTGGTACTATACCATCTCTTTATGCAACTGTTGATTTTGGAGCTACTGATAATCCGGAAGGATATTTTGCCTTCCAACGCAAGTATGAGCCAAAAGGTCCATTGGTTAATTCAGAGTTTTATACAGGCTGGCTTGATCACTGGGGCCAGGCTCATCAGACGAGAAATGGAGATCAAATTGCTTCTTCTCTTGATAAGATTCTTGCCCTCAATGCTTCCGTGAACATGTACATGTTTGAAGGGGGTACCAATTTTGGATTTTGGAACGGGGCCAATTGTGGTGGACAGTCATACCAACCTCAACCAACATCCTATGATTATGATGCTCCTCTAAACGAGAGAGGAGAAATGACAGACAAGTTCGGCCTGTTACGCTCGGTCATTAAAAAATATCATCCAGTTCCTTCAATTCCGCCTATAGAATCTGATGTATCTGTGTATGGGGATAAGTCTGGACACATTTATTATGATGAGTATGCTGATTTATTTGAGAGTCTCAAAGTGCTAGGTACTAAACAGACAACGGCCGACCGACCGCTAACCTTTGAAGACATGGAACAGGACTTTGGTTTCATACTCTACACTCCAGTTGATGACATAACCCTCTCATCCTCTGATCAAGTCACACTAACAATTGATGAGCTACACGATAGGGCAACCATATACTGGAATAGGCAACTAGTCGGGACTCTCCTTCGTTCTGCAGGACTTACAAAGAATATGAGTGTGTCTTTCAATGCAACCTCCAGCAAAGGATCTCTTGCTATTTTGGTAGAGAACATGGGACGTGTGAATTATGGCTCTTACATTGCTGACAAGAAGGGAATCTTAAATGGCGTCTATTTGAATGGAGTTGAAGTACTTCATTGGACGACTACCTCATTGCCACTTAATAATACAAATGAGTTGCAATTTACCCAGGTTGGTAGCACTACCCCTCCTACTTCAGCAGTATTTTATAAAGCATCATTCACTATTGATGGCTCTACTCTTAATGATACATATCTTCTGACTGACCAATGGACAAAAGGTGTTGCAATTGTTAATGATTTTAACCTTGGTCGCTACTGGCCAGTGAAGGGACCTCAAAAGACCCTGTATGTACCTGCTTCTGTACTTAAGAAAGGAACAAATGGGGTTGTGCTATTTGAGGTTGATTCAGCTCCTAATAAAGGCTCAACTCAATTTGTGGATAAGCCTGATTTAGGCTTGTCAGTGACGCGAGCCTTTGAAGCTGAGGTCAGGTGGTGAGTGGTGCTGATAATTGCTATGTCTATGCTGTTTGTATTGTCTTAGGACTATATTTATAAACCAATGTTTGCTCTAACTTGTCTCTGATTTGTTTTTAATTTAATTAAAGTTGATAACGTCAAAACAAAATAATCTCCACTATTAGTGCATGTGTATGCAAACTGTCTCCACATTGCATTAGTAAATGATAGTACTGTTACAGTATAGTACATATAGCTGATCTTCGTTCCAGTATAGCTACTTGACCCTGCAAGTCAGTGACCTGATCGTTGAGTCTTCTTTTCATATCTTCTATCATTGCTACCTTTCTCATTAATTCTCCATTCTCCTCTTCCTAAAGTATATGCAATAGTATCTTAAAACAATAGCTTGGACTTGAATATTTACCAGTTCACTTCTTTGCCCTTCAGTTTGTTGATAGAGAGCTTCATAATGCATCAAATTGACACTCAGTTGTTCAGCCTATGATTACCAACAGCATAGAGTGTAACAGTAATAGCTACATAGACTTACATTATGTGTCTGTTCAGCTAATTTCATTTCAGTGAAATTCTATTAGAGTAATGCAATTGAATTTTGAGTTCATCTTCACATAAAAACTCACAAGTTTTTCTGACAATTCTTTATTGTTTGTCTCTGCTTGAGTTCTTTGTTTCATTTCTTCAGACAAGTTTGATTTTAGGCCTGTTATCTCATTGTCTCGTTTCTCAATTTCACTTTTATGCAGCTCATCTGTATTATAATAGCAAAAAATCACTAAGCAGACATTATGTGCATCTTAATTACCTTGCTCTTTCTTTTTGTTGGTCAATTCTTCCAACTGCCTTTCCCAAACCTCCAAATTGCTGTGGAGTTTCTTTATTACTAATGACTTAGCTTCTGTTAGTTGCATATTATTATGATATCAGTGAAGTTTATTGGTTCTACAATACCTGAATTAGGGTCTGGTTCTTCAGGAAGTGGAGGAGCATATCTTTCTGAATTCCTCTTAAGAATACCAGGTCTTTTCTTATTGTCTGTTTCAATGGTGGTTTGATTGACAGTGGGTCTGCTGAATGGCTGTAGAGAGATGTGATCACTGCAGTTTCTAGGATTCTAGTATCTACTGTCTCTACCTTTTCCTTTGCTTGTCTAGCTCTGTTCACCTCTTGAAGTCTTCTTTCTTTATATTGTGCCATCACCTCTTCGGTTGGTTCCAGCCTGAGATGAGGGAGCAAGGCTTCATCAAGTGCATCTGTAGTAGACATTGCTCCCTGAGTTTTGTTTAAGGCGTGGCTCAAGTTGCAACGCCCACGCATTTGCAAGTAAGTTCAGCCTCGCCCATGTTCACGTGGACATATAGACACTTGATTCTTGAATGGTGTGAGACATGTTCACAAATGTGGAATGGGACGTTGAAGATGATGAAAAGCTTCATATTAGTCTATTTGGAAAAAAGGTAAACAATAATTTTTAATGTCTATTGTATTTAATTGATTAATTTTAGAAGAAGAAAATGAAAGACAAAAGCATTAAAGTTCATGACCACTCCTCTATTGATCCTTCACTGACTAAAGTTAAAAAGTTTAAACTGTCTAAGCGATTGGCTGGTGATAAAAGCATAAAGGCCAAGAAAGACAAAAAGAGCGTAGATTTTCAAATAGTTGAAAGTCCAAGAAAGACGAAAGAATCGAAATCTTCAGCTTTAGCCGATAAAGTGGCCAAGAAAATGTCAGGTGCAAGGTTTCGCTGGATTAACGAGAAACTCTACACATGTACAAGCACTGACGCTGTTAAACTCTTCAGCGAAGACCCTCATCTATTTACCCTGTATCACCAAGGCTTCAGAGAACAAGTCCATCAATGGCCTCTTAATCCTTTGGAGAACCTCATTGAGTATGTAAGAGGACTACCACCTCAGACAATAATTGCTGATTTTGGGTGTGGGGAAGCAAAACTGGCTCAGAGTGTACCTCATACTGTTCATTCTTTTGATTTTGTGGCTGTAAATGAGTATGTCACACCGTGTGATATGTCAAATGTTCCTCTTGATGATTCTAGCGTTGATGTGGGCGTGTTCTGTCTCTCCCTCATGGGGACTAATCTTGTTGATTATTTCATTGAGGCCAGGAGGGTATTGAGGCTTAAAGGAACCCTCAAAGTGTACGAGATTCAAAGTCGGCTGTCTTCCATTGATAGTTTTGTGTCTCAAGTTGAATCGATTGGTTTTAAGCTCACGGGAAAGAAATGTCTGAACAAGCTTTTCATTGACTTAGAATTTAAACTGAGAAAGAAGAGTGTTCCATGTAGCTCCTGCAAAGACATAACTCTTAAACCATGTCTCTACAAGCGACGCTAGATCTAAATAAGATTAATTTTATAGATTTTTCACTAATAATTTAATTTTTTTGTAAAACAAAATAAGATTTGTGCGTGGGTGTTGGCTATCAGAAACAACATGGCCTCCAGTGAAGAAGTTAGAAGCCCCGTAGCTACTCAAATACTTGACGGGAAATCTATTGCAGCTGATGTGAGGAAGCAAGTGGCGGCAGAGATAGCTCGGATAAAGGGAACACACCCCAACTTTCAACCAAAACTAGTTATTATACAAGTAAATGAAGAATTTGGCTTGTTAATTTTTTACATCTCCCTCCCTCCCTCCTCCTCCTTTAGGTTGGTGATAGAAAGGATTCCAATGTTTACATACGAATGAAGACAAAGGCTGCCGAAGAGGTGGGTGTGGTTTTTCAACATATCAAGCTCCCTCGGTTGACGACAGAGGACCAGTTATTAAGTGTTATTAACGATTGTAACAATGACGAGGACATTCATGCTGTGCTGTTGCAGCTACCACTAGAGTCTGATCACAATATTGGTAAGAGTATTCTACATTGCAATTGTAGTTAAATTTTGTGCGATTAGTTACAAAAATTGCAAATTAAAAAATAAACCATGTCCTTGTGTTACTGAGCAATCCATTGTAATATTTTTAGTTGAAGGCGTTTAGAATATGTCACAATAGCTTCTTCAATATCTCAATAGTCATACCTTCTCTTCATTCGTAGATGCTGAATGGTGTACTGATGCCATTAGTATTGATAAAGACGTTGATGGACTGACTGTATTTAATGCAGGCCGACTCTCACGTGGTGATATTAACAATTGTACCATACCTTGCACACCATTGGGATCATTGGAACTTATAAAAAGGACTGGAGCTAGTATTGAGGGAAAGAATGCTGTCATTATTGGTCGTAGCAAAATTGTGGTATGTCTTTTCAAGCACATAATTTTATGTTATGTGGAAAGTTTGAGCTGCTATTTTTTTAATTATGGCCATTTTTAAATTAGAAATTTTTTAGAAAAAAAGCAAAGACTATATTATGCCCATTGTTTTTTTCCAAAAAATGACTTCGAAATCATTCAAAATTTTTATTACATTTTCTGATACATATTAATGTCCTTATGCTGTATAGAAAGTTTGAGCTGATTCCGACTCCAATTTTTCAAGTTACGACCATTTTAAGAAAATGCCAAATTTCTGAAAAGTACCTAAGGCTATAGCCCATGGTTTTTTCCGAAAAATGGCTCCGAAATCAACCCAAATTTTTATTACATTTTTTGATACATATTGATGTCCTCATGCTGTGTAGAAAGTTTGAGCTGATTCCGGCTCCAATTTTTCAAGTTACGACCTTTTTAAGAAAATGCCAAATTTCTGAAAAGTACCTAAGGCTATAGCCCATGGTTTTTTCCGAAAAATGGCTCCGAAATCAACCCAAATTTTTATTACATTTTCTGATACATATTGATGTCCTTATGCTGTGTAGAAAGTTTGAGCTGATTCTGACTTCAATTTTTCAAGTTACGGCCATTTTAAGAAAATGCCAAAATTTTGAAAAATACCCAAGGCTATAGCCCATGCATGTTTTCTCTGAAAAATGGCTCTGAAATCACCCCATATTTTTATTACATTTTCTGATGCATATTGATGTCCTTATGCTGTGTAAAAAGTTTGAGTCGATTCCGAGCAAAAATTTTGGAGTTATGATCATTTTAAACACTTCGACCACATAATGATTATCATCATTATAGAAATGTACTATTACATTTTTCAGGGTACCCCAATGAGCCAGCTATTAATATGGAACAATGCAACTGTCACAGTATGTCACACAAAGACTAATGACTTACCCTCAATAGTGAGAGAAGCAGATATTGTCGTCGTTGCTGCAAGACAGCCTAAACTGGTGAAGGAAAGTTGGATTAAACCAGGTAATGTTATAGCATATCTCTCCTGTGTTTAATATTGTTGTCATTGTTTGTGTGTGTAGGTGCTATAGTTATTGATGTTGGAATCAACTCAGTCCCTGGTAAGGAAGGAATTACTAATAATAACAACAGCTGCTAATTGAATTACTAATCCTAACACAAAAATATTTGCATAGTAAATTGCACTAATAATGATAAATTTAGGATCAGTTGTATAAGAAGGAATAATAATAATAATAATAATAATAATAATAATAATAATAATAATAGTAATTATTTTTATTTATAGATTCTTCTAAGAAGTCTGGTTTTTCATTGATCGGTGATGTCGATTATCCCGAAGTCCTTGGCAAGGCCGGGTGGATTACACCAGTCCCTGGTGGAGTTGGGCCCATGACAGTTGCTATGCTAATGAAGAACACACTGCAATGTGCACAAAACATACTTGAAAAGGTGAGAGTGTGTGACTTTATTTAGTATATTTTTATTTTTTTATTATTTATTTATTTTATTATCTGGTTTTAGGATTCTGCTGGTACTGGTTGGTCCTTGCGGTTGCTGCCTCTGGCTTTACAGGACCCAGTTCCATCAGATATTGATGTTGCCCGGTCCCAGACTCCTAAACCTGTCACTGAGCTAGCTAAAGAAATTGGGCTAAGGATTGATGAGGTACATACATGTATACATGTATCACGCAGTCTCTGTGTCAAATAAACTGCTTCTTAATGTTATTCATTCCATTGTTGCTTTTATATGCATGTACTATGAAGGCAACTAACTAATATACTCTAAATTATTATAATTTAATATAATACTAATTATATTAATTATATGAAATTATTATAATTTTATTTTCTAGCTAGAGCCATATGGTAGGGATAAAGCAAAGGTCTCGTTGAAAGTCTTGGATAGGCTAGTGGACAAACCTGATGGCAAGTATATTGTTGTAGCTGGCGTGACTCCAACTCCTCTTGGAGAAGGAAAGAGCACAACCACCATTGGGCTGTCTCAAGTAATTAGACGTATTAGCTTTAAGAGTTATTCTAAAAGTACTTTATGTGATTGTGTATTTTTAAATATGCACATGATATGCCTATAGCTTCGTTCATTTAATAAATGAGGGGTTGGTTTTGTGTCTTTTTTTTTCTTTCTATTTTTCAGGCATTAGGAGCTCATTTAGGTCAGAACGTGTTTGCTTGTGTGAGGCAGCCAAGTCAAGGCCCCACGTTTGGTATAAAGGGAGGGGCAGCAGGCGGAGGGTATTCACAAGTAATACCAATGGAGGAGTTCAACCTTCACTTGACTGGGGATATTCATGCCATTACAGCTGCTAACAATCTATTTGGTATTTAACACTCTTATAGCATCATTATTAATTAATTATATTTGTTACCAGCTGCTGCTATTGATGCCCGTATCTTCCATGAGAAAACTCAAAGCGATAAAGTATGAATGCTCTTAGTTTCTTTCTTCATGAATTGTCTCTAGGCACTTTATGGGCGTCTGGTTCCAAAGGTCAAAGGTCAGAGAGTTTTCTCACCTATACAGGTGAGACGTCTCGAGAAACTGGGCATTGCTGAGCGAGACCCAGACAAACTGACTCCGGATGAGATTAAGAGATTCAGTCGTCTTGATATTGATATTTCAACAATCACTTGGAATCGTGTTATCGATACTAATGATAGATATCTTAGGAAAATTACAATCGGTCAATCGACCACTGAGAAAGGATACACAAGAGAGGTACAGTTAGTAATTTTTAAATATACATGTAAGGTCACTGTGTTTAAATTTCTTTTATTTGTCGTAGACTCAATTTGACATATCGGTTGCTAGTGAACTGATGGCTATACTGGCACTCACCACTGACCTCTCAGATATGAAAGAAAGACTCGGTGAGGGAGAGAGGGGAGGAAAGAAGAAGAGGAGAATGAAAAAATTATGATTTAAAATTCATAATTTTGATTTGTTTATAGGGCGTATTGTGGTAGCCAGTAGCCTCACCGGTCAACCAGTGACAGCTGATGATATAGGGGTCACTGGAGCACTGGCCGTACTACTTAAAGATGCCATTAAACCAAACTTGATGCAAGTAAGAGGAGAAGGAATGGACTAATGCTAATAGTACTAGACTAGTTGTATTCACTATTAAAAAAGTATTTTTAATGAATTGCTTTTTAAAAGTACAATTATTATTGCCTGTATTTCAAGTGATGTTCATAGTAAAGCAGTTCCATTTTTAACAACGTAATTAACTATTTGTGATCTTCAATTCTAAGTTGTCCTTTTCTTTTAATTCCAGACTTTAGAAGGTACTCCAGTTTTTGTCCATGCTGGCCCATTTGCCAACATTGCCCATGGGAATTCATCTATTTTGGCTGACAAAGTGAGTCTCAAATTAGTTGGAAAGGACGGATATGTAGTAACCGAGGCTGGGTTTGGAGCTGACATTGGAATGGAGAAATTCTTTGACATCAAATGCAGAGCAAGCAGTAAGTGCAGCTACATGTACATGTATGAAAATAAAAATGAACCTCTGTTGCGTTTTTTAAAGCAAGCAGTCTAAACTATTGGATATTTTATTCTATCTTTTTTTTCAGAATTACAGCCCAACTGTGTAGTATTGGTTGCATCAGTAAGAGCTCTTAAAATGCACGGAGGAGGTCCAAACGTGACCAGTGGTCAGCCGTTAGACCAAGCATACTATGAAGAGAATCTCCCCCTCCTTGAAAAGGGTTTTTCAAACCTTCAAAAGCACATTGAGAATGCTTGCTCTTTCGGAGTACCAGTTGTAGTTGGCATCAACACGTTTTCCTCTGATACCCCTAAAGAACTGGAGCTAGTTCAAAGGCTCTCGAGAGAAGCAGGTGCTTTTGATGCCCTCATCTGCTCACACTGGGCAACTGGAGGTAAAGGAGCTAAAGAACTAGGAGCTGCTGTCATGAGAGCCTGTACCACAGCTGAGAATAACTTCCATTTCCTTTATCCTCTTGACATCCCACTGAAGGTTAGTCAATTTACACTCAGCACTAACTAACCTCTTGGATGACATATCATGATCATCAATTCCTTGCATATTTGAAATGCCCCTAGGATAAAATTAGATCAATTGCTGTCAATATATATGGAGCAAGTGATGTTGAGTATACTTCTGAGGCTGAGGAGCGCCTTGGACGTTATGAGTCACAGGGATTCGGTCACTTGCCTATATGCATGGCTAAGACTCATTTGTCATTGTCACATGATCCCACTCGCAAGGTATAGTACTACCAAGAGTACACTCTGTTGTAAATAATTGGCACTGTATAACATTAGTGTAAGACTGTATTTCATTAGAGTACAAAATGTGAATATTACTATCTTGACATAGAACACTTTATAATCCTACAGAATTCTTCTAACATGATTTATTTGCTATGAACTATTTTAGGGACGGCCGACAGATTTCGTACTTCCGATTCGTGACGTGCGTGCAAGTGTTGGGGCTGGTTTTGTGTACCCACTAGTAGGCACTATTAGTACAATGCCAGGACTACCAACACGCCCGTGCTTCTTTGATATAGACCTCAATCCAAGAGATGAAAGGATCAGTGGATTATTCTAATTATTATATTAACTAATGATATTTCACATTATTATTATTATTATTATTATTATTATTAAATAAATATAATTATATTTGCTGAAGGAATGTGCACCTCACTGCTTGTTAATTGCTTTTCAAAAGGCCTTGTTGATCCATACAATCAAAGGATAACAATATCCATAATAGGAATATTGTATTCATACAATAGTTGTATTGACTTTCTTTAATAGATGCCACAAACCACAAGAGCAAAGGTAATTCAATATGACAGGATTTGTAGTAAGAAAGATTGTTAATTCTTTTGTTAGCTATGCAAAATTGTCACTACAACATAATGTGCCAAATAGTAAATTAATTTAAAATAATCAAAACAGGTCAAAACTACAATTTCTTTGAAAGCAAAGACTTTGCAATATTGTCAATCAGTTCTGGATTGTCAAAGAGATACATTTGAGTTTGGTACATCATTTCAATGAGAGTGTCTTCGTCTGTAGTAGCCATACCTATTGCCTCTTTCAATGGAGGAGTAACACGGAAATACTGACAATCAAGAGCATCACAGAAATTCTTAGCACGATGTACTTCCTTTCCATCAGTTAGTAGAGACTGGCTGGCAAAATGAGAGGCAAGACTTTCCATTGCACGAATGTTCTTTGGACTTAAAAGAGAGAGAATAGATGTGCCAAATAGCTCAACTTCTTTGGTTTGCTCTTTAGGTGAAAACCCTGTCCCAAGGGAAAGTACCATACCAAATTTAACAGGCTTTCCTTCTTTCTTTCCTTGTTCAATAATCTCAGCCATACCATCAAGAGTTGGGTTATTAGCAACAAGGCCACCGTCCAGGAGCTTCAAATCAAAGAGGAGAGGAGAGTAATAAGGTGCAGCACCACTAATGTGACAAGCTTCCCAAACTTTGCGCTCCTTTGGCCCAGCATGTCCATCTCTAGGCTCACCATAGCTGGTCATCAGGTGAAGCTCAAAAGGAATAACATGAGCCAGGGATGCTGTTACTATCACGCGACGAGATGGCTCTATATCACCCATTGTCAGGAACTTTGAGAACGTTTGCTGGAAAGTTTCTTCAATCCTTCCCTTACGCTCAGATGCAGCAGAAGCAACAACATAACGGGCTCTACTCATGATAGCTCTCACGTTATATGCATCAGCCTTTAAATAAGCTAGTGCACAGGCTGTTTGACCACCAGCACTAGTGCCAACTATGTAATCAAAGTATTTATACATACGTACAGAAGATGAAGCAAGGTCTGTCATTCTCTCTTCAATATTCACTAGAATCTGTGTTAGAACTAGCACCCTCATTCCTCCGCCATCCATGCTAAGTACATATGTATCATTGCTTTTCTGAGGCTCTGGGACAGTTGAATGCTTAGAGAAATATTTCTCTGTCTTTGCGCGTAGCTTGTTGCTTTCGATCAAAATATCGATGATGGTGTCAAGTTTGTCTGCATACTCTTTCTTGTTGAGAACGTTTATATCAACCCGAGCATGTTTGACGTGATGATTATGCTTATGATCATGGCGGTGATGTCGATGATGATGATGATCGTGTTCTTTGGGTTCCACTGGACCAAATTTAAAAAGAGTCCCCAGAGCTAATTTGATATCTGGCGTCAGTCCCAAATCAGCCTTCATGCTTATAGCTATATCAAGTGGAGTCTCGCCATTATTGTTCTTGATATCTGGATCAGCATCGAAAGCCAGGAGTGCCTTGACTAACAAAATGTTGATATTTGCGACTGCCATGTGGAGTGCAGTCTCTCCTGTCTCCTCAAACTGGAGGTTTGGATCAGAGTTGACCAGGAGAAGGTTGAAGACAGTTTTGACAAAGTCCTTGTTTACTGCTTTCATCAAGGGAGAGTAGCCATCATCCTCAAAGTAGTCGAAACGAATGCTGCCCTGTCGGAGCAAGCTTCTCCTCGGGATTCTGGGGCATGAGCTTGTCCTCCTCTGAGTCCTCTCTCTCTCAACGCTAAGATCACACTTAAAGTCGTCCCATAATGTTTGAGTAGTGCTGTAATCATCAACTTTAAAATCCACAACAAACTTTTTCTCTATCTTCTTTCTTGCCATTTCGCTCAGCTTCAGGAATTGTAATAAATTGACTGGATCAAAAGTTCAAAACCTCACCAGAAGGTTCACTGAGCTTCCGCTTGACATAATAAAGTCAGTGCTAATAGATCTACGGCGATTATCACTAGCTCACTTCCTGCATAGCTTCCTGGCAATTATCTATCTAAAAGATGTTATTCAACAAAATTTTATTTAAATTTTTTTGTCTCATAGTATAGTTCTGCTAATTGGCCCCATTGCTGTTCGGAGAGATGATCTTTAATTGTTCGTTCTAAATGTAGACCAAACCCGTGCCTTTTATAATCAGTAGGCGATAACTGCTTGATCATTATTTCTTCAAAACTCTAAAAAAATAAGAACAACCCATTACACTATAAATTTGGCCTGCCTCCCATGTCGACAAAATCATTTATAATTGAGACCTAATTCTAAATTCAAGCTGAATTAAATATCAAAATTGTACATAGTCTAGATTTATATAATGAACATTTTATATACCATTTGTGAAATCCATTTCCGGAATTATATTTTGCAAAATTTAATGTATGAGGAATTTAATTTTGCTAGTATAGGCGTAAGCTGTTGATACACCCATTAACTATTAGGGCTTTTGCTGAATTAAATCGTGCGTATTAAAATTAATTCTTCTAGCAAATATTCCCAGCTATACGGTAAGCACATATACCTCCCATTCTTTCATAAATTCCTTTATCTGCATCTCATCCTTCACCAGACGGTGAATTTTAAATTCTGATTGCACGTAGGCAGTCCCAAGGGTTGATAAATCACTTGGCAACTTCTGATGAAGCCTCAACAACCTTCTATATAATCCAAGGACACGTACTCTTGAAGACATGAATACATCAATGCAACAATAATGTCTCCACCAAGCCCCGCCTCTTATAATACAAACGCCATTATGAGGGTTAAAATTATTAATTTTAACCCTCAAGATGGCGTCTCTCAGTAAGCAAGAGACATATCGCCTTCTCATGAAAGAAAAGAAAGCAAAAAGGAATGCAGTGCCAAGAATAGACCACCCACTTGCAAAGTTAGTTTCTTGTTTGTAATTAATATGTATATATACATTACTATTCCTGTAATTATAATAATAGGTATAATTCAGTTGGTCAGCTAACATGTGTTATTTGTACTGTGACTATTAAGAGTGAGTTATTGTGGCAAACTCATTTACAAAGCAAAACTCACAAGCAGGTAACCACTGTAATAACGATAAGCTACTGTAATTAAAATACTCTTTTAATAATTATGTTAATTTAATACATTAAATATGCTGTGTATATATATACATGAAAATGTTTTCTCAGAATGTAATTGAATTAAAGACTCTCTCGGACTCTAAAGAAACTTTGCAAAAGCCACGGCAGACAAAGACAGGACCAGCTTCTGTCGGTAATGCTGTCTCCTCCACTGATGCTGAGGGTTTTGTTAAACCTACTGTACCGCCTTCAAGAAAAAGACGTTTATCAAATGTAAGTATAGACCATCCTAGGAGAGAATTGAATGCGTAGGAAGATTATTAGAAATTTTTACGGTTGTAAGGCGTGGTTTAGGATGAAATAAATTCCGGCTGCCATTTTGGTTGGCAACTTTCAATGGAGAACAAAAGGGCCGACATTAAAACAAACCTGTATTAAGAATTCTGGAGCAAATTTGACCAAATCCTTGACAGGAGAACCTTAGAGGCAGCTGCTCTTTCTTATAACAAGCGCTTTTTAGGTATTAATAGAGCTACAGCAGGTGGGTGAGGCATTTTCTTCGTGCCTCCATTGACTTCCATAATAAACTTGCCAACCAAAATGGCAGCCAATTATGATGTGTGGGCGGGTACCGTATATAAAATTAATGAAATTCATAACTTTCCTATTCACGCCTAGGGTGGTCTATAGACCAGTTGGTGCTAAGTATATTCATAGAATTTTAAGTATATTCATTGTGATACCCTAAATAAAGTAAAATTTTCCTTCCGCCATTTTGGAGTCCTACTTCCAATGGTTGTCTATGGAGCGATCGTGAAAAGAGCTTATTCTCCAAAAACTGCTGTCTTTATTCGTTACAGCAATATTGCTACTGCTTACTGACCATCATCCAGTGTCTAGAGTTGGCTCATGGACTTTAATAAGTGCCACTAGAAGATATAGAAGCAAATATATTACTTTCTCCCATTCTACTCTTAGTAACTAAGACTCCAAAATGGCGGTAGGAAAATTTTACTTTATTTACGGTATCACAATTAATATACTCAAAATTCTATGAATATACTTAGCGCCAACTGGTCTATACCATACTCCTGTACTATAGTACATGTACATGGTCTCAGGCCAAATTTTTCCAAAATTGAAAAGGAGCAAATTCTTCATTTTTATAATGTTTTCTGATGCATATACATGTACTTATGTTGTGTAGAAAGTTTGAGCTGATTCCGATCAAAATTGAATTTTTTACGAATTTTTTAATTCTCCATTTTATAAAGTACATTTTTTACAGACTAAGGAAGCAGAAGAAGACGATGAGATTAAGAGGAGAGATAAGCCAAAGACTGAGGAAGGTACCATCATGTTTTTTGCGATCATTATCTGAACCATTATTCGATTTAGAGAGTACAAGAGTTGCACAGGTGCCCCCTGTAACAAAAACTGAAGGGTAGGGAATGTACATCTCTAATCAACCATAATACAATTTATACACACACAGCATGGACCACTAATCCTGTTACTGAAATAAAGATTATTTTGTGTTTTTGACAAAGCCCAAGTACTAGATATTATATTTAATATACTGCATGCATATAATAGTTCTTAATTGTCATGCAGCTAAAATTTACTCAAGGAACATTTCTTTACTGTAATTTTTTGTTTTAGTTTGCCTTCTGATTTTTTTGATGCTCCGACTACCAGCAGCAGCAGTGATAGCAGCAGTGTAGAAGTACCTGTACAGGGTATGATCAATGTGTATTCTCTTTTATTGTTGTATTTGCTCTTTTAGAAACTAGCAAAGATAAAGCTAAGACAGAAACGAAAGAGACCAAGTATGACTCAATCACACACACTCTATGCTTGTCTTTTGTACAGAGAATCTAATGGTAAAGATGACTCTGGCAATCTACCTGAAGGGTTTTTTGATAATCCTGTCGTTGACGCAAAAGTATATGAAACTTTTCTTTCTTTTGATCGGTTCTTTTTTGGCTTAGGTACGAAAAGTTGAATACAAAGACCCATTGGACGAGCAATGGGAAGCATTTCAAAAGAGCATATCAAAAGAAACGGATGTAAGTATAAGTACTAAATTGTTAATTTTGATATTCAGTTGCTTAATACATGTTCTCTTTCATTTTCTAGACTTTGTTTTAATAAATGTTTTTTGTTCATTATAATTTATTATTATTTGCCATTAGGTTTCTCAAGCTATTATTGAAGTGGATGACGAGGAGATGAATCAAGTGAGAGAACTAAGTGAAATCAATGAGCAAGTGTAAGTGGATCAATACCAGCATTGTCTTTTATTTTATTTTTAGTCACTGGTATCAGCGTGCTGAGAATTTAAGAGTAAGACAAGAAGTAAAGGTTGCTTCAAAAAACGTCAAAACTGAACTAGACGAGGAAATAAAGAGGAATGATGTGAAATATGAAGAGGAGGAGGATGATGATGCTGAATTGTTGGATTTATTTGACTGGCGTTTTAAGTCATCTCAATAATTATAGCAGCTGTGTTGTATAATGTCAATGTACTCTCAATTAATTAATTATTCTCAATGTATAATATTAATATTATATGGTATGCGGAAGTATACGGGAAATTTACTGCTGCCACTTATAAGTGGGCGTAGCACTGATTTATAATGCGCAGCCATTGAGCGTAAGCTGAGGTGATAACTCGAGCGATAACAACTTCACAAGGTGTCTTGCAAGAAGCTCCCTCTCAGCCTTCAGAGCACGAGGAACTTTCTTTTTAATAAGTGAGCCGATATATTTGCTAGAAGAGAGAGAGACGGCGGAGTTAGTTTATATTGCTGTATTTCATTTCATGCTGCATGTGCTTATAATTCTGTGCATATTGTGTGAAAGAACTGATGAGCTAGTTACTTTGTTAGTGAGATCATTTGGTGTGTAGTCTTAGAGTTCAAAATATCATGGCAGGTGAATGCTAGCAATGATCAACAAAAATACCACTCTCATCTCCACTGGGCAAAACAATCATCTGCAGTGCTTTTGCACATCTCTAATTAACACTGTTTAAATTTCTGCTACTTTTACATGATAGATTTCTATATGCACTTTTTTCTTAATAGATCAATAAAGTGTCTTACTTGTCAAATGCTATGAAGTGCCTGGGGCTAGCTATTTCAGCTCTCTTACTCTTTGCTTTAATCGATGAGATTAATGGTAAATTAAATACTGTTTCTATACTACTCATAACTTTGTTCAAATTACAATGGTATATACTTAGTTTTGTCACAACCCTAAAAGGCAGTGTCACCACAAAGTCCAACCTTTGCTAACAGATTCATTCTTGTGTTGTGATAATTTTGACCCACTGCATTTTACAAATAGATTCACAGCTTACACACTACTGCAGTTCAATTGTACTTCCTTATACAATGAATAAAGCTAAATCAACTAGGTTCCCACGACCATTGAATAATTATCAAAAAAACAACATTACTATAACTGGAATTCTGATAGTGTAACCTTATACCTTTATGATAGGATTTTATGCCCAGCCTGATGTGATTAATTTCATTTCTCATCCGCAAAGTCGCATTGCTGTTCTTAATTCCAGTATCACGTTTCACTGCTCAGTTAACAGGACACAGCTTGATGCATCACTGCCTAATGTGAGCTTGATCTGGTTTCACAATGGCGACCTTTTAAATGATAGCAATAACATCTCCTGCTCAAGTATCTCTGTTTATAGTACAGAATCTGTCGTTACTTCAACTTGCTCAATCGAATCAGTTCAAATCAGTGATGAGGGCTGGTATCAGTGTCATGTGATTGACGGTACTAACGATACCTACTGTAGGAACCTTCCTTGTATCAGTCTAGTTACTGCTAGTAAAACTGCTCAACTAAAAGTAATTGGTAAGTAGTACTACGTAGCATGCAATTGATTAAAGTTATTGAAATTTTACTTTAGGTGGAAAAGTGGATGCCTTGGATGTTCACTTGACAAGTAATGTCACCAGTGTATTACTGGGCTGCTTAGGATCAGAGTCTACTGATGCTCTTTTTGACCAACAAATAGTGTGGAAGAGAAATGGAGAGCTCATTAACAATACTGACATAGCTGAAGTAAATGACTAATCCTTGTTTCTTATTGTGTGATTGATGTCTTTTAGATCCTTCCCTCAAATAACCTGTTGATCACAGCAAATAATGACACTGTTGTGACAAATGTTATTGGTACCTATGAATGTTTGGTATCATTGCCCAACAATTCACATATCATAATTTCACAAACTAATGTACTCCTTCCACAAGACTATGGTAAACTGTCAACAATAGCTGCTTTGTTTCTGTTTCATTGTATTATTGACGATTCGGTACTTTTTTATAAACAATTTTCCTTGTCTTAGGTGACACAAAAAACAAGTCTACGTCACTCTCTCTCACTTTCTCGCCCTCAAATTTGTTTGTGAACGAGTTCCTCTTACCTCATGCTTCTCCAGTTGAGCTGGTCTGCTTAGTCACTGGTCTATACTCTCCTTATAATATAACATGGACTATTAACAGCCTTCCTATTAGTAATGCTAGTCGTCCATGGATTAGCATGAATCAATGGTTGTCTGGTAATTACTGTTGCCACATTAGTTATAATGGAGAATTGAGCAGCAGTTGCCAGTCCATTAATGTTATCCGTAAGTCACACTAATTATTATTGAAGTCAATTTTATTTTTTGTTTTAAATTTTAGAGCCAGAGCCTCCTCTGATATCAACAGTATTTATTAATCAAGACACGTCGTCCATTGAACTTAACTGTAGCTCTCAGTATCCGGTCGAATGGCTCCACAATGGTAACGCTTTGGATCACAATGGCACGAGTTTGAATGTTCCTGTGTCTAATAAATCTCTGGATGAGTTGTATGGTATATATCAGTGCAATAAACTCAATGAGACGATTGCAATATATCGAGTCCTCCCATTTGGTTGGACTAATCCAGTACCTTCAGTCCATCATGTTAGTTATCTACCAGCTATTAACTTCTCTCTAATTATGAACTCTCCTTCCTTCACTGGAGGCCTCAGCAAGGAGGCACTATCAGCTAATGTGACGGTTCAAGTCTTTGATGGTCTTTCAAGTAGTGTCGTCTTTTTGTATACTCTCACGGAACCTTTTGAAATGAATAACCTAATGACAATTGGAGGCTTCTATCGTATCAAAGTGACAATTGTTAATGACATGAAAGAAAGAATCAGTGAGACAACAAGCCATACCTTTACCTTTTGTAAACTCTACGGTTAGTGAACATGGTGCTTTGACATGTTATTAATATTTCTTTGTTTTCTAGAACCTATTCCTCCAGTTTTGACTCTAAATTGTAGCGAAAAGAATTTCTCCGTCCACTGGAAGGTATCGAGCTTAGATCCGTACCCTCTCAAGACTACTAATTACTTGAATATTCAATGCTACAATGCAAGTGGCCAAACTGTTTCAATGGTGAGTGAATTGTCTCTTTCCTAATATGTTTTTATTTTTCTATAGAAAAAGGGATGGTCTCGATATTCTACGAATGGCTATGCATCTCTCACTCCTAGTGACAATACCACCGTCTGTCATTTTGCTATGCATGGAGAGCGAGCACCCGATTGCACTGGTCCCAGATCAACTGGAATCTGTAGCTACGATGAGTTTAATATTGAATCATCTACAGTCACACCATCATCATCATCATATGCAATGAACTCAGTGTTGTATTCTTCACTTTTGATTAGCTCCAGTAGTAGCTCTTTTATTGTTATATCTAGCTCTGAACAACCTACTACTACCTCTACTACTTCGCCAGTTACACCATCATCAACCCATACATTCATTCAAACTACATCACACACTCCAACTGCTAGCACTGAACAAACTCCCCCATCAACAGGTAAGCTATTAATTTTTTGCATTTTATTAAAATTATACTTTTGTATAGAGCCTGATGTCTCCAGTGATAGGATAATCTTCATCAGCATAGTAGTATTTATGATAATATTTATTTTGGTAGTGTGTCTGATCTGCATTCTGGCTATTTTGAGGCACAAGAGGTAATGAATAGTGAATATACACAACATGTGTGATATTTTTCATTTGCAGATATAATAAAAGACATGATTTTTTTGATTATGAGGTAAATGATTTAATTGAATGGTTTTGTTTTTGCAATGCCAGAGAACATGAGTTTTTTTACATTTTTAATTTAATATCTTTTAATATTTTTTCATTAGAACGACATGCATCTAGAGCCTACTGAGATTATTTCTGCATCTGAGGCTGATACTGCTAGTATAGAAACAGACTACGGGTATTTAGACTGCACGACATACAGATCCATCAATGCTGATTCAAATGACAATGAAAGAGCAAGCCCAGAACCATCTCAAGGTTCACACGTACTGGATCCTGTGGTACAGGGGAACAACAATGATTCTCATGCAAGCACCAACACTAATTCGGCTAAAAATTTCGTTAACGCTGATTCTAATAACTCAAATATTGATTCCATTAATCATCCAAGTCACAGGATACTCAATACAACCGAAGGCAGTAATTCAACTTCTGGTTCGAGTGGTTTCACACTTAATTATCTCATTACTGGTGATAACGGGATAGAACTGATTAGTTTCAAGTTTAAGAAGGACAATGAGTGTAATAATGTTGATAAAATCTTAATGACACAATAATGATTGTTCTTTTTTGTACAGCGCATTTTCATCACTTAAAATTTATTCTTTGTTTTGATTATTGCTATTATTATTATTATTATTAATTTATTCATGAATGTAATGCGACTCCACATTTGAAATTGAGGCATTTTGGGGGTGTATATAGCCTACAGCTAAGAGTGCAATGCCTTCAGACGAGCTCAAGTTTGATATTCAGGAGAAGCCAGCTTGGAGAGTAGGAGGAAAAACAACCAGTAACCTCCTCAAGGATATTTTTATATGGAGGGACAGCTTTGCAAGGCTCTCTCAGGAAGACCAGGCCTCATTTCAGGAGGCATTCCAAGTCTGCATGAAAATGGAGTACGTCTTCCACTCGTGCCTCACTGAGTCTCATGGTACAAGGACATACGCGGCAACCAAGGAGGTCCTTGAGAGAGTCATTGGAGCTAGCGGCCGCCTTGGAGGAGAGAAGACCAAAGAGGAAAAGGAGACAGTGAACACTGCAAGAGCTCTGATGCAGCTGAGCAGTGAGCATAGTAAAATGGGAGGGACTGGTAAACTAAGCCTTGAGGTTGTTTGCTCCATACACAGCGAACTAATGAAAGAGCTCAGAGCTGATGCAGGAAGCTTGAGGACCAAAGACGCCTATAAACGCATGGACGATAGTTCCACTCAGTTTTATCCAAAGCCTGAAATAGCTCGGGCTCGACTCCTTCATGTCATACAGAATCATAACATTCACATGGACTCGTATGCTTCCCAGTCAAAGGATTGGTCCCCGCAGAATAAATTTGTCTTTTTGGTCAAGTGTGCTTCCTGGCTGATGGTCCAATTCATGGAAGCGCATCCTTTCTCTGAGGGTAACGGAAGAATGGCGTGGCTCCTGGCAAACTACGTCATCTCACTATCGAGCCCATTCCCTCTTCACGTGTACCAGTTCCAGGACTTCACTGCCATTGATCGTATTGCACACTTTAAGGATGCCATTGCAACTTATCGTAAATCACCAAAAGACGGACCAAAGGATCTTTGTGCGTTATTTGTAGAGGGTGCTTGGTCTGTGTGGAGTCGCTGCATAAAGGCACAAGAAGCCCGTCAGTCTTCAAGCAGCAGCATAACGATTGCTGTGCAAAAAAGCAAACAAGATGAAGCCCAATCGCATGTGAAACAGGTGGGCATTGCTAAATATCTAAACGTGAGCGAGGGTGATGCTGTTTCGTTGGTCTCAGATATAATGGGGAGGGTCAGTGTGGATGGGTTCCAGCCTCATCAGTACGCACAGCTGAAAATGGATGGATCTACCGATCCTGTTATCTATGTTAGGGTTTTTCCTTAAAATCTCATGAAATAAAAGGTACACAAAACACAAAAGAAAAGAACAAAAAAAAACAACAAAATTTTACATTAGTCCTTACATTTTTAGGAAACTTATAATTTTATTTAATGATAGAAAATTTGTCTTTTATATCAAGTACAATTTTTTTACATGATGCACACACTCACACATAGAACTGAAAGTTTTGTGAAGATTTATTTTTGAGTAGAAATTATTTTGCTTTATACATCAGAAATTGAAGGACCCTTAAAATAATAGATAAAATATAATTATACTTGATAAGCTGTATGGTTATCAAATTCTCACCTTCTTCTCCTTCGCTGTTTTGTAATGCATTTTAGCATAAGTCTGCATTAGCTCCATTATCTGTCTTGCTTGATAAGAAAACCCATACAAATCGCCTACACCTTTATTACCAAATTTCTATAAAAGTGCATATAGTTAATGTATACAAATATTATCATTGTTTTACTAACCAAATGAAAGCTGGAGTTAGATATGGCCCAGTCACTGATGTCAGAATATTGCTGATTCCAACAAACTGTCTTCAATCCTTTGCCAAAGCAGATCAGTCCATCGCGTCTTAGTCCGAACATTCTACGCTCCATTTTCTTCCTTAGTGTGCCAGAGGCAGGAACCTATTAAATGTATCAGGAAATGTATTTTCTGAAAATTTGCAAAAAGGGTCATAACTTGAAAAAATTGAAGTCGAAATTAACTCAAACTGTCTACATAGCATAAGGACATCAATATGTATCAGAAAATGTAATAAAAAATTTGGGGTCATTTCGGAGCCATTTTTTGGAAAAAACCATGGGCTATAGCCTTGGGTATTTTTTAGAAATTTGGTGTTTTTTTTAAATAGCTGTAACTTGAAAAATTGAAGTCAGAATCAGCTCAAACTTTTTATACAGCATAAGGACATCCATATGTATCAGAAAATGTAATAAAAATTGGGGGTGATTTCAGAGCCATTTTTTGGGAAAAACCATGGGCTATAGTACAGGGATTTTTCCAGAATTTTTGGCATTTTCTTAAAATGGCCGTAACTTGAAAAATTGAAGTCGGAATCACCTCAAACTTTTTAGACAGCATAAGAACATCAATATGTATCAGAAAATGTAATAAAAATTTGGGGTCATTTCAAAGCCATTTTTTGGAAAAAACCATGGGCTATAGTACAGGGATTTTTCCAGAATTTTGGCATTTTCTTAAAATGGCTGTAACTTGAAAAAATGAAGTCGGAATCACCTCAAACTTTCTACACAGCATAAGGACATCAATATGTATCAGAAAATATAATAAAAATTAGGGGTGATTTTGGACCCATTTTTTGGACAAAACCATGGGCTATAGTCCATGGTTTTATCAAGAAACTTTCCACAAATTTGCTACTTTTAAAAACGCAAAAAATTTTAGTCAAAAATCAACTCAAACTTTATACATAGGTGATGAAAATACTAGACTTGCTTTTAGGTTTGCTGAATTTAATTGCATATGCTATTAAAATTTACTTTGATTTCAAAATAAAGACCATTTGAAGAGGGCAGGTTCCTGCATAGTTCAATAACAGTATCAATGGCCGTGTTCTGGTCAAGTCCTTCATTCTGTTGATGAGCCTACAAGAAACAACAACAACAACAACAATAACAATAATAATAATAATAATAAATAATAATAATAATAATAACATAAATAAATGCAAATCTACCTTCAACACGTCAGACTCAATTCCAAATGAGTCGTGATACTTTTCAGGAAGAAAAGCTTTGATGCTACAAAAAAGATTAAATAATCATAAAAAACCTTAATTGAACACACTCGTAGTCGTATGGTGGCCAAAATGGAGAAGAGGATTTGCTCCCGTGATAAATGTAGGCAAGAAGTCCAGCCAGCCTGATTGCAACGCTTTTAATGATGGGATAATCACCTTGTATAAACCCAATCCAACTCTATTAGGACATAAGAGAGTAAATTATACCGACACACATGAATAATGAATATAGTTAAACTGCTAGCTAATTTACCTGGTAGAACATTCTGTATCTGGCGACGTCACTATCTTCTCCATCAGGCCATTCCTCTCCGATCTCAAGCGAATATTTCTCAGCTGCATCAACCTCGTCTTTACCAATACGTCTTTAAAAAGAGAAGAGAAGAGAGAAAATTATAAAAGATATTTAAAATGTCAGAGTTTAATTTTTGCAACTGCATGTGTTGCATTGCAACTTAAAACTTACTTCAGCACAAATACATATGGTCTCATGTTCCAGTCAATTTGATCCACCAAAGGGACATCATCATTCAGAACAATATCTACAATATAGCAATAAAAATAATGAGAATAAAATGATTTATACTATATAAACTTACTTGGTTGCTTCACAGCATCCTGACGTTTACTGAAAAACCCACGAGAGCTAACTTTCTATTTAAAAAATTAATTTGAGATCATGGTTTATCTAAAATAACTAGTTTACGAACCGGTTTCCCTCCATAGCTCTTAATTGTCTCTTCTACCGTCCTAGGGACACGAAGGTAATGTTCCTCAGGATACTGTATATCTGATAGTGAAGAGAGAGAGAGAGAGTAAAAATATCAAATTAGGCAGGCAGTCAGTCAAATTTTAATTACCAAAAGTGGCACATATTTCCCGTATTGTGTGTCTCACTGGATCATTAACATTAACCTAATAATTAATAATAATAATAATAATAATAATAATAATAATGGACACAATCATGATCAAAACTTACTAGAATCTGACGGATTTCTTGATCAAGAACATTGACATGAATCAGCACGTAATTCTCAACTAGGTCCTTGAATCCCTATGTACACATAATGCATATCAAAAGCAATAAACTGAATAATATATAATCTATATTATTTATAGGCTTCATTGCTTGTTGTGCTACCAAATATAGAAAGAATGTAGGCCTTACAGTATGAATACTACCAACGTACCTTTCCAAAATAAGATGGCGGACTGATACTTGTTTTTCGCTTGGTTGGTTTGTGTGAAGGAGAGAAGACTTCAATCTCATGAGCAGGAGAATAGCTAATGCCAGTAGCACCTTCTTCACCACCAATACCAGCATCCTCCAGCCCTTCATCTTATGAAAGAGAGAGAGAAAGAGACATTATTTTAGAAGGAGGGAGTTGAATCAAAAGGACATTCTTCATTTGGTATATTACCTTCTCCAGAATCAGCAGAGTGGACTGAGCTGTGAATGGATACCAAAGACAATGTCACAGAAGGAGTCTTCTCTGAATAAATAAATAAATAATAATAATTACTATGAATCATTACTATATAATAAAATAGCTATAATTATAACTAGTATAATGGATCATTACTTTTCATTGGGCTAGAGCCTGGAGTTGATGAAGTGCTGTTAAGTAAGTCTTCAGTGTCAATCTGTGCATGAACAATCTTAGCTTCACCTATACACACACACACACATATAAAGTACTAGTATTGTATTGTGGATTACATGTTACATACTTTCAGCGTCTTTTCCGGAGACAATTGACTTCATGTGCGATAGATAGTGAGATATTTGTGGAAGCTCATCAGAAAATATCATATGCCACTCATCACTAAACATCTAAAACAGGAGGAGAAGAGAGAGAAAGAGAAAGAAAAGGGAGGCATTATAAATTGAATTTCAAACAAACTTGAAACTTACCAGTTTCATTCCACTGTCAATCCTTTCCCAGTTTATCAAACTATTGATGGACCATTTCTTTAACATCTACACATGAAACAATGAACAGGTCACACTAATCAATAGCAACTAACAGTAGGCCCTCCATCAGAGACTTGAGGTACAGTGGAGAGATACATATTGCTGGACTGGAAACACAGATATACTGACTCATTATCACTAGGCAGCTAATATATAAGAAGAACATAAGTGTTGTATGAACAAAGCAGTAAATGGATGTGTATAAACTTATACAAGCAAGAATAAGATCTATGTATGTCTCTAGATTTAATCCACATTGTGTGACTCATCTGTATTCATTTGCAACAATCATCTAGACTTACTGTCACTGGGAAATTAGCTGATACATGATGCTGATGCCTTGATAGCGTTTTCTGTAGTGATTTCTGAGTTGTGTCATCAGCTGATAGACTACTGCTTCTCTCTCTTCTTGTGCTATCTTTAGTGCCAGTAGAGTTACTGCTCTTCTTATTTGGAGAGCCAGAAAGACTGAAATCACTGCCACTGTATTCAGCACTTCTTTCAGAGCTCTCAAATGCCTACAACAATACACAGTCAAGTATAATAATAAATACAAATTAATTCACTATGATGATAAAGAATATTATTATATACCTGAATGACACTTGAGAGTAAGTCTGGACTATGAACTGCTCCCTCTGTATCACTGCAACAAATAGAAAGAAATATATATATATATATATATATCATAATAACTGATGTTTATAAATATACATGCATTAGTAGACAAGTCTATTAGATTTAAAAATGAAATTTAAAGTGTGATCTATAGCCTCTATTGAGATGCATATGTGTACATGTAGTGGCCCCAGAATGATCATAAAATTGTACATACAATATGAGCTAATGATACCATACCTTGTTGATTCAGGATCACTGCTGGAGCTGGAATTAGTGAAACTGGCAGCATCAGACACCTAATGAATTTAGTATTTCAAAATGAATGAATAAATTCAATATAATTACCACACCTTTTTCTTCCTTTCAGTCTTAGCATGAGCCAATTCTGTTTGAAGCTGTGCATATAAAAGAATTGCACATAAAACTAGTACACATATTGAATGGCTATCATTATTACTTGATTGTATATCATTCTTCTTAACAAATCGTTCTTTTCTGCTTCTCTGACATCTTCATTAAATATAAAAAACTTCTTCCTATACAATATAAGATTAATAATAATAATTACCAGTAATCATCATTATAGCAACAATATTAATGTTTTGTTTCGCCTCTTAAAAAGTTTTTATTAATATAATTCAGCATACCTGAGCAATACCATATCTCCATCTTCCACTCCTTGTGAATTCAAAGATCTTGTCACGTCCAACCAATTCACTAAAACAATACAGCAATGATTCATGAATTCTTAGAAAAGCAGTCAATAAGTAACACAATGACTAAAACAATGACTGAATACAGTAGGAAAGCATGCAAAGCAAGTCTATGGCAGTGTATGTCATTCACAGTTCCACTACTTCAAAGCCAAAAGGAATAACACTGTGATTATTAGAATAATAGTAGGTTGGCAATTCGCCAATATGCTACAAACGAAAGCTTCACATCCGGTCCAAGAACTATGGGTTGCCACATGTAAACTAGCATAAACTGTGATTGTGTGAATACTAATATTAATCCAAATTAAATATTGATGACTTACAGGAAGAAATGCTGATTCCAGCCTATGAAAAAGAATAAAATGAAACCTTAATTTACAATAAATTAGATGATACCTTTTCAGATGCTGAAGGCAAAGCCAATGAAAGTTCTTTAGTATTTTCAAGACCTACAACACAACATAAATACAAAATAGTTAGGCAGTTGTAGGCTTATAGCATATTGGTATACATTTTTTGCTCGGGTGATTAAACTTTGATTAACTATCATATGATTTGTAATTAATTTCAAATTGCTTTCAAGCACCAGGTGAGGCAGCGACACCATCATTAACAAAACAGTACATTATAATTGTAAAAGAGCTCATACATATGTGATGCATTTCAATAATTACCAAGTTCCTTTCCAATGATTTTGACTATCTCATAAACAGGATGTGAAGCATTAACCTGTAAAAATGAGAGAAATAGCAAGATGATAAAAAGGTGTTACAGTAACATAATATTTCATTCAAGAAGAAGAATTAGCCTGATATTGCTATAGCTTGTATCTAAAGAATCAGTAAAGCTCATACCAATGATAACACATTGTATTGATACACAAGATGTAGCAGCTTTCAAGTGTGATGGTCATGTGCAGAGCAAGCAGTGTATAGCAACAAGCAAGAAACAAGGCCATTCATTGTTGAGTCTTGTCATCACAATATACAAAGGAATTCACTAGTGGATACAGCATCTTTCAATATTTATGATTATACCTACAGGTTGAAACTACAAGCAAGCAGCATTATCTCCTTTTACAGTGTGTGTGTGTGTGTGTGCATAATATCTAGACTAATTATGGAAGCATTATAGAACATGATTATGTCTGACAAAGCCATTAAGACTATGAGCCATGTTCCAGTGTAAGCAAAAGGTACAGTGCTATTCCAATGCACACGATTATTGTGTATCTATATATACAGCTAAGCATGATTCCTTCTCACTACAGCTTAACAAGTGACTGACCATTCATAACATGATTAAAGAACACTAGCTTACAAGGACAAGCGATAACTTAATTGAGTAGGTCAATGACAACAAATGATAATACCAGTCATTCTTGTAATGATAGCAGAACCAAGCAAGGGAAAAAGGAAGAGAATGCAAAAAGGAAAAAGGATTCCATTTTAAAAATAATTTAAGACCAAGGGCTTAGCAGCCTTCTTGCTGCCAAGTTGTGATTTGTGAATGGTATTGGCACATTCTCTTTAAACAATGCTAGCTGGAGTGTGACATGTGATGACACTGTTAAGCAGTGAATGGTGAGACTAACTTCATATTGTCTGACTTCATCAGAATATATGTTCACAGCCAGTGTGATGGGATGATCCTTTCTCCTTAGCTCAATAACATCCTAAGAGAGAGTGGAAAGGAGGTTGGATAGAGAAGAGGTTAAAGGGAGAAAACAAGAATAAAACAAGAGGACAGCTGGGATATATTAATGTCTTATCCCATATTATATAACAGCACAAATCACATACAACAAAGAAACAGATTATAAACAAACCCAAAGGTTTATTCCATGTCAGCTCATTACTTATAATTACCACAAACAGCAATTAAACTAATGATAATTGAAGCATCTACTAATGAATAACATGCATCTTTATTAGCTGGTAGTCTAGTACATTTGAAAGCTAGAGGATTGCTTGGCATCCAGTGAGCTTGTGCTCACATTGTACAAGTATAAAGGAGCTTGTTTGTCCTAATATGATGCTAACCTGATTCTTGCACTGATAATCAGAGAGACGACAAGCAGAGTCTAATTGAATGTCCATGTCAGGACGCAACAAATATGCATCAAAATCTATAAAGGGAGAGAGAGAGAGAGAGGATGAAGAAGCTATATTAAATGGGGGGGGGGGAGTGAGTCTAGTATTACACTGCAAATATAAACACCAATATAATGTGTACAAGAGACAAGAACACTACAAGTTCATGTGTATGTATGTGCATGGTCTTGTTTGTGTGTACATTGGAATGGAATGGATTGATGAAATTACAGCCATACCGGGAGGACATTTCCCACTTATGTGTGTCTATTGAATTAAACTTGAGAAAGTGTGGGAGAGATTCCTCGAGCATTCAAAGTAACTCAAGCTTAGGGAAGACATTGTTACTGATGCAAGGGAAGGTACTGAATACAAACAAAGTTGTGATTATTATATTATACAAGTACATGAAAGTGGTAATACTGTTGTTATTATTATTATTATTATTAAATAAGTTTGCAGTTACCATTATATTTACTGCATTTATTGTTATTGCTGTTATAGTTACCTTTTTCAACTACCAGGCCACCAAATGCTGGTGAAAGAGTCTTAAGCAAATGAGACACACGAGTCCTTCTGAGAACCTAAAGGAAAGGAAAATAGAAATTTAGCAATGATAAATAATAACCCAGACTAATAATGGAGGTGACAATACTTGCTTGTTAGTAGCTCAGAGTAGAGTAGTTGGCACAATATCTATCACTGACCACTGACTGCACTCTAATGGCTACTAATTGCAGCAGCAAGAGCTGTAGGCTTAAGACTAACGTGGACCCAGTCCAGCGTTTGTTATGTAGTAGGCCAGGCTGTGGGAGTTACAGGACCTTCATTCCACAGTAAGCATGCATGGTAAGGCATAACCTGATTGCCCATTGAATGCAAACTATGCCGTGCTTATTAGCAAAAACACGACCCACTAGTACTACTCAGAAATGCTGTAGAACTATACACGCTACAGTATTAGAACATACTTTAAGTTCTCTTTCATCTGGAGATGAAGGAGTGCTCTGATTGCTGTCTCCCACCTCAGCTAGTCTTATCCTAAGGACTAGTGAAGTGTTTTTATCATCAATAGCGAAGGCCATGTCTTCTCTTCCCTTCACTCCTTGCTTTCTCTCCTCGCCTCAGAGAGTGGAAATTACACTTTTATCACAGTTCCTATGGACGGGGCTATTTTTATAATGCGGAATTAATTAGAAGAATTATTAACTATACACAACAATAATATTAATGGTGATTATTATTATTATCAAATATAAAAATTATAGCTTAGAAATATGTTTAACATGTAATTCCTCCTGGTCACTCAGTGGACTGAAATATCTGTCTAAAGTTTCCTTCGTAACATCTGCCAGTGTGGGCGGGTCCCATTTCGGATTATTGTCACGATCAACTAAAACTAAAAATTGTTATTTTCATTATCTTTACACTTGTCAATAGACCATACCTGCTCTCACGCCTTCATAAAAATCTTTATCTTCCTAAAAAAACAATTTTTAGCAGAAGAATCCCCCATCGTCTCTCTCTTTCTCTCTCCTCCCAGGAAAATTCCACCTATATTATGAACTATCATCTCCTCCTTACCATGAATCTTTGACACAATCTATAATCAGTCATCAGACAGTCTTCAAAACTTTTCTCTCTGCCCTCTCTTAGCTGACGATGAGTAACTTTAAGTGAAGTAGGAGACTGAAAATAAGAAGGTGGGAGAGAGAGAAAGAATGAGAGAGAGAGTGAGGTGAGAGTAATTATATTCAAATTATAAGAGCCATGCTTCAATGGCCTAAAGGAATACATTTTAAGTTAGAATTCACTCCTTCTAACATTTACCAGCTGCAGTCAAGCAACAAATTCTCATTGCATACCTAACTTCATCACTGTATTAAATTTCAAAGAATAGAATTATAATACTTTATACATACCTCAAACTAAATGCCACACACACGCGTACAGTCAAGCATTAACACCATGACACACAATACAACACTAATATTCCTATTATAATCCCATTAGACTATTACAGCAACACATTCCATGTATAGATCAATAAAATGCCTATCTTACTCACACGCAATCAACAACATATAAAATAACAATACGAAATCAACACACACTATTATAGTAGGAGCTAGCACACAGACACATGACACTATAGTAATAGTTAGAGTGTGTAAAGGAATGAGGTGTGTTAGATATTATTAGGTTAAAATTGTGTATGTGTATAGGCTACAAATTATACTAATTCTTTGTTTTGATGCTGGTATTGCAATCTGTCTTAAAATACAACAAGTGCATTATACGTGTACATATTAATATATGACACTTGTTTCGATGGAGAAATGAATACATCTAAGTACTGTAAACATGATTAGGTATTGTTTACTGGTGGTATGACTGGAATGTAAAGTAACTCTAGAATGAGGTACCCATTGCAATATACCTGCCTCATTACCAGTAGGTGTAGAGACAGTATGATGTACATACATTGTGTAGTGAAGCTCATTATAAATCCACAAGGTGGGGCTATAAACCACAGCATTCAATAAATATATTTGACAAGTTGTGTGTCCCACAAGACCAGTATATAAATAGGATGGGTAGATGGTGATACCCAAATAAAAATGGGAATTTATGAATGATAGCAACCCCCTACAGTAAGTTACTTTAATCCTTATACTTACCATTTTACTGAGTAACTGCAGATTAGACATTGAGAGATGGTTGCATGATCAATGAAAGAGTGAGGGGGGGGGGAGAGAAGATGACATATAGAAAAAGAGAGTATAAAGTAATGAACATTATAAACCTGTGAAACAAATAATAGTTGAGAGCAATGCAATCAAATAATTATAAGCCACTACATTATATGGAGGAAACAATGGTCTGTATGGTTCTATACTATGAGAAAGGCTGTGTCTATACTCACTGTGTTCTATATATGTACTAAATCAGGATATTGAATTAACAAGGTATTTTATAATTGTCAAATTAATGGGAACTGACTTGGAGCTGATTGATTGACCAATCTGAGCCATCATTTAACAAAGACATCTGAATGTCTTCAACACTACCTCCAGAGAAACACCTGGTACAGAGAGAAAGAGAGAGAGAGAAAGAGAGAGCAAGAGTGACTATGCATAAGAAATATCATGTAATGCTTGACTTACTTGTCAATGAGCTCTAAGTGTGGAGTGAGTGAAAAGCTCCTGTCATCAATATTGAGACTCTAAATAAAACCCAAAATAAGCAACCACAACTTATACATAGAACATGCAACACATAATCACTCAAAACATAAACATGACCATATTACATTCATGTAGACATAATTATAAACAACACACACTGTGGTTGCATAAGAAGCTAATCTTCTTATATGAACTACATATACAAGTACCTCTTTGTGATATTTGTCTAATATTGATTTAACAACATAATGAGGATCTTTCTTCATAATCGGATCATCGCATGATTTAGTGAGTTCACTCAACAGCGACGGAATCTAACAAAAGAACAAATATAGTAACAGCCAGACGCTTACATCCACACAGTACAAGCTTTACAGCTTTACCTTCTCTTTTCCAATTAAATGAGTTGCAATCCCACCATGAAGCACGTCACGTCCTTTCAATCTGTGACCTACCCAAGCAATATAAATAAAAGAGTTTATACACTAAATCTACATGTGTATATCCATTACAATATATTGAGCATTACAACCATACACTAATTATTGCTACACTATAATTTATCATTATTGCCACCAACAGTAAAGCAACGAGTTTGGCAATAATTGCAGACAAAAAGGAAAGACAAAATACTGAGTAGACTTTGAAATACACAAATTAAGAAAATATTTATATTTACATCAAAAACAATCACATTTTTATACAGGTACAGGTACATGTACATTGTACAGAAGTGTCAATGTTTCATATGGAGAAAGTGCTAACAACATGACAGTGTCTCATTACCAGTTAGAGCCAAATACATTCCAAGTTCTCCTTTCAGTCTTGGTAAGAAGTAGCCTCCTCCAACATCAGGAAAGAATCCTAAAAGTAAGTTCTATGTACATGTACATGTACATCTACCCTCAATCTTCATGAATCACTAATCTCCTCCCTCCCTCCCTCTCTCTCTCTCTCTCTCTCTCTCTCTCTCTCTCTCTCTCTCTCTCTCTCTCTCTCTCCTCTCTCTCTCCCTCTCTCTCTTTCATTTACCTATTGCTGTTTCAGGCATTGCAAATGTTGTGGTCTCAGTAGCAACACGATATGGAGAATGAACAGAGATTCCAACCCCCTAATGTGTAATGATACATTCATAACTGACACATGAACATACATATAACACAATTAATTTTTTTTATTAGTGAAATCTCACTATGAGATATAATAATAATAGTAATAGTGAACATATTTTATATTTTATACTCTAAACTTACTCCTCCCATTGTAATCCCACTAATAAGAGCAATGTACGGCTTGTGTACAGTCCCAGTCAAATAATTTAGCTGATACTCACGGAAAAAGAACGTCTGGGCCAACGGGGAACCGGTTTTACCTGCCTCTGTGACTCCTGTATATCAAACTGGTTAGAAGAACTGGTAAATCGAGTCTTACTTCTTATGTCACCTCCAGCACAGAAAGCCTTTTCACCTCCTCTGACTAGCATAAAGTTGATAGAATTATCAGGTACAACTGACTATGGAAAATAGAGGAATATGGTAGAATAGGAAATGGTAATGAGAGAGAGAGAGAGAGAGAGAGAGAGAGAGAGAGAGAGAGAGAGAGAGAGAGAGAGAGAGAGAGAGAGAGAGAGAGAGAGAGAGAGAGAGAGAGAGAGAGAGAGAGAGAGAGAGAGAGAGAGAGACCTTCATATCAGTTGTAAGTAGGTCAATCATATTGCCGCTCAAGGCATTGAGTGTTTTTGGTTTATTTAAAGTCATCAAGCGATAGCCAGACTCCCCTGATGGGCTCTTTACAGTTTCAAACAATACTTCAGGCTGTGTTGTATAATAGGATATGTAATATTATAGAATAAATGAATCCATTACTTCATTACTGCTGCTGGATAAAGAAGACATAGGGACCTAATGAGAGAGAGAGAGGGAGAGAGAGAGAGAGAGGGAGAGAGAGAGAGAGAGAGAGAGGGAGAGAGAGAGAGAGAGGGAGAGAGAGAGAGAGAGAGGGAGAGAGAGAGAGGGGGGGAAGCAGGGGCGTATGTAGGATTTGGAGAAGGGGGGTGCTGAGGGCGCGCGAAGCGCGCTGCGACTTTGGCCACACCCACTTTTACAGCAGTAAAACGGGCTTTTCCTGCATTTTCGTCAATTACGGGTGGGGCCAAGATCATTTCAAGCATACTGCTATGTTACTGGTACTTCTGATTGCTCCTTAAAGCACTGGAAACTGCTGAAATCATGATAAGGGGGCTAGATAACTTTGTTAAGAGGCTTGGTAGTGATGCAAGAGTCCAGGACTTCAGTAATTTTTTCTGAGCCCAGCCCTGAGGGGGGTGCTCAAGCCCCCTCAGCCCCCCCCCCCTAAATACGCCTCTGGGAAGGAGGGAGAGCTCAAATATAAAGGCTATGCATTATACTGTACAGCCAACACATGTACATGCAATATATTTTATAATAGGTTTACAGGTACTCCCAGTTGTATTGCAGTGCATATTGGCTTGAGACACTTATTTTATTAATTCAACACGTGGTTGGCTGCATTGGTAAAAATTAATAAATATAATTACCAGTGTTTTAGCTAAAGGAAGAGGTCTGGAATTTAATAATAATCCAAAGACACGAGAGCAGACAGTTCTACTTTAAAAGAAATACAACAATAACTAAAACAAAGTTTCTACCTCATCATACTGTGAAAGAGGGCGTGGCTGAATTTCGTTAATTACCAATAAGGCGTGGTTTCATTCTAAGTAGGTGTGGTTTACCACGCCTTTAATTATAATTGGTTTGGACAAATAAATTTGAAGCTATACGGTACACACGTGCATTCACGTGACAAGTGAAAGCACATGTGTATTCACGTGTGTCAGGTCACAGGCACTGTTTGGGCTATAGAAATCCACATCATACAATGGCTGAAGCTGAACCTTGCTGTAAAAGACTTAAACTTGACATTTCTTTCCTTGATGACGAATCTGATGATGATTTCTACCACTCAGAATCTCCCATCGATCAATCCACTGCAAACCATCTTCCTTTGATAGAAGATGAGGACTATATTAACCCGTTTGATTCCCTGCCAAATGAGGTAATACAAGAGATATGCATGTTCCTCTCACTCAGAGATAAGATGTCCCTTAGATTAGTCAATAGAAGGCTCTACATGATATGTTCTGATCCTTTTTTGTGGAGAAACGTTGTCATTGATGATGCCTATCATAAGACAAATGCCCCATTCATCAAGTCGGCTTTACAAACATGTCGTCCACATGTACAGTCACTGAGTTTAAGGGGACTACTACCATTCAGTGCATATCAACAAATGATTCTTACATGTAAGAATATCCATACTTTGAATCTTTATGGGTTTCAGATTTCTGTCAATGCTTTGGAGAAGATTCATTCAGATTTGCATCATTTGCAGTTCTTAAGTCTTAGTTATATTGACCGGTTTCCTCTTAATATCGAAAGATGTTTCAAGATTTTTGCCAAGTTAAAAAAAGTTGTATTGGTTTA